AGAGAGAGAGAGAGAGAGAGAGAGAGAGAGAGAGAGAGAGCCGGAGAAGGGAGGCAGGGAGGGAGGGAGGGAGGAGAGGCCAGTCTGTGGGCACAGCCCCTGCAGCAGCGAAACCTGTCTGGCCAGATTCTTCCCTCTGCTTCCCGGTAAACACAGCCAGCCCTGAACAAGCTGGCCAACATTCTCCAGGGGTGGGGGGCTCCCTGTCCCCCAGGCCACACTGGGCACCGGGTGGGCTCACAGTCCCTAGTAAGCGCCCACCGTGACCAGGGATCCGAAGGTCACTCTTGAGGACCGACTGCTCACCACGTCCTCGCTGACACGGGCCCACAGTTCACGGGAAAGGGGCAAGTGGGAGGGGTGCCTAGGCTCCACACTGACCCACAACCAGGCCAAAGGCAGGAGGGGCCTGGTGGGCAGCGAGCCTGGGTTGGGGACGGCAGAGGGCACACAGATGTGGGCAGGACCCCACAGAGGGTCCCCAGGCCCCCAGGCCGTGCCCGGAGCAGGGAGACGCGCCTGACCATTCCCCAGACCTCTCCCCTCTGGTGAGCCAGCCACCCGCCCCACAGGGTGCCCCCAACTTGAGACCCTCGCTGGCTCGATGCCAACAGGTTGGTGCCATGCCCGCGCCCCAACATGAAGACCCAGAGCTCACAGGGGCTGTGCCTGGTTCCGGAAAGGACAGGTTTGTGTCTGGACCCCTGGGAGTCATTCAGGGCATCTGACCGGGACTGACACAGGAAGCAGTGGGGGAAAGGGTGGGGACAGGGCTCCCAGAGTCCCGCCTGTGACCCTGCCCAGGTGCCCCCCTCATCATCATTGCTTTCTCAATCCTGGGTCCCCCAATCCATGTGGCACAGCAGTGAGAGGGGGTCACGCCAGGTGCCCCACAAACCCCTTCCCAAGCACATATCTGCCAGCCCTGCTAAGGCCTGAGGGCTCGAGCTGGGGACTGTGGTGCCAGACAGGGGGATGGGCAGGTGGACCAGACCAGGCAAGGTCAGCTGAAGGTCACAGAAACCAAGGCAGAGGTCCAGCTAGGATGGAGGACCACAGCTCTGGGCACAGCCCCACCTCCCCGCATCTCTGTTTCCACGGGGTCAGGAAGACAGCCATGGCCTGACCTCCACAGAGGGACCCCACCACACACCCTCTGGTCCAGCCCAGGCCGCCTGCACAGGACCCACCTCCTCCCAGGGGGGAGGCCACGGAGGGGAGCTGGCTCCGGAGGTCCCCACTAGGGCCAGTGACCCACTGGACACCCCCCAGTGCACAGGTGCGAGAGCTGGTGGCAGCTGTCCGATGAGACCATGCCCAGCACCTCCCTGTGCCGGGGCCCAGGGGACGCTCACGGCAGGCAGTGTCTGTCCCTCGGTCGCTCCCTCGGTCGCTTCCTGACACCCCCACATGGTGACCACAGACACCCAAGGAGGACCCTCCTAAGGCCCGTGGCTGAAGATCCTACAAAGTTCTCCTGGAAGGCAGTCGGAGGGCAAGGGGCCGGCCGGGGAACAGAGCCCAGAGCGACCTCCGGGAACCCGGCCACCACAGGCCCAGGACGGACCCACACTGGCGCCGGGCCGGCCGGAAGGGTGGGGGCGAGGGCCACCGGAGTGGCGTCTGAGTGACACTAGCCGCGAGCAGGACCGCTCTCCAAAGGGCCAGGCGCTGGGCACGGCCAGAGGCCGCGGCTGGGAGCAGAGGGCCGCCAGACCCCAGCCCCGGCGCACACTCACCCGGTCGCCTGAGTTAGGTCTCAAACTGGGTCAAGAGCTCCCTTATTTCCGGGGCCACGTGCTCCGCGGCGTTTGCAGCCTCTGTGATAGCCTTACGGTACATCCCCTTCTTCTTGCGGTTAAATCTCAGTTTGAAAAACTCGGAGAAAGGGGAGAGTTTTGAAGTAGACAGGAACGACGTAGTCGGAGAACCAAACCACGAGACCTTTGCTTCTTGCCAAGAGGGCTCCCCGTCCCCCTTCTGGCTAAGGCTGAGGTCAAGCACGCGCGCCGGCCACCAAGGGAAACCGTGAATCTTACCCCACACGACGTCCCCTACGGCCACCGTGCTCCCGTCCTCAGTAACGCACTTGGGGACGCTCTGTGTGTGCAGCCGGACCGTGAGCGGCGGGACCGTCCGCCTCGCGTCCTTGGCCGAGGGCCGCGCGGACGTGCCGTCGCCTGGCGACAGGCCGCACGTGTCTGGGGATGTGACTTCCGAGCCGGACGACCTGGACTCATCCAGGCTGTCGCTGCTCCACACCGACTCGCTCGCGCGCTCTGTCCCCCGCCTGGGGCAGCTGGCGAGGAAGGCCAGGCTCTCTTGCCCGTGCGGACCCGGGGGGCACCGTTTGAAGCCCTCATCCTCCTCGCCAGAGCTTCCAGAAGAAGAGTCCACCAGCCCACCGCCGGCAGAGCCGTGGCCGAGCAGAGCGGGTGCCTGGGCCCGGGGGCCGCGCCCGTGGCCATTGAGCGCCTCCACCAGCTCGGCCTTGTAGACGGGCTCCCGCTCCCCAGCCGCCCGGGGGTGGGGCTTCAAGCGGATCTTGGGGGGCGGCAGGTTGGTGCCAGGGGGCCCGGGACGCGTCAGCTTCAGCTTGGGGATAGAGGCGGAGGGCCCACCAGGGTCCTGGCTGCCCCCGTGCAGGGCCTGGGAGGGGCAGAAGGGCTCCAGGGACCCGTGCACGCGCGAGGGGATCTCCACCACCTCGCCTTTGCCCTGCGGCGTGCTGTAGGAGATCTTGATGGCCGGGCTCCGGGGGACGCGGGCCTTGTCCTCCGCCTGCCTTTCCCTCTTGCTCCTCCTCGTGCTGGTGGCTGCCGCGTCCCCTCCGCCATCAGGGCCCTCGAGCTTACGGGGCTCCCTGTCGGGGCCGGGGCCGCTGCCCACCCTCCGGCGGGGCCGAGGGGCAGCTGGGGGGCCGGGGCTGGCCTCGGGGGGGCTCAGAGTGCTCTTGCACTTCTCACAGAGTACTTGGCGCGGCCGCAGGCGGATGGGGCTCAGGGCAAGCCGGCCCGGGTCACGGTTACGGGACAGGCGTCGGCGGGTCCTCTTGATGGTCCGGGGTGGCGGCTGTGGTACCCACTGCCGGTAGGTGCTTCTCAGCCAGAGCGGGGGAGGGAAGGGAGCGCCTTCAAAATACGGCGGGAACGGTGGCACAAGGGGTGGGGGCGGCTTGGGGTCTGAGGTCTCGGGTGGCTGCTCCCCGCAGGGAGGCGGCGGAGGACCCGTCCCCAGCTGCATCGCCTCTCCGTCCTGCTCCGTGGGGGCCGGGCCGTGGCAGCCGTTGACAGGGGGGTCCTCGGGCTGGGGCAGTGGAGTCGACAGGGGCAGGCCGAAGAGGCCGGACCTGGCAGCGGGGAGACAGAAGGGGACACGTCAGGACCGTGAGGACACTGCTGCACCCAGTCCCCACCCCCAGGGGCCCGGCGGGGTCTGGGTGCTGGCATGTGCCCGGAGCATCTGCAGGTGCCTCCAGGCCCTGAACAGGGGCAAACCCCTCCATGTGTCCCCCATGTGGGACATCCCAGGGGAAGGCATGTGCTCTATGAAGCCTGGGGACCAGCATGGAGGCCACCTCTCGGGTCTGTCAGGCACCAATGTCCATATCTCAGTGCATGTGGGCTCGCAGCTAGAGGCCTTCCAAGACCCGGTGTGGGTGTGGGGGCCCTGCAAGCCTGAGAACAGGGTCTGGGGAGTCTGGGGCGCTGTGACATGGCCTGACTGGGCCTGTGGGGGGGCTGCTCTGTGGCCAGTGGCCCCGGGTCACCGGCCTTGTCCACCCACTTTCTTCCCTCCCGAGGGAAGACCCTAAACGTGCTGCCCACGGGCCCAGGTGCCTGCCGCGTGCGAGGGTGTCCGGGGGTGGGGGCTGCCATGGTGGTCATGGAAAGAGGACAGGCGTCAGCCAGCAAACCAGAGCCCACTCCCTCCCAAATGCTGAGTCGGTCCCAACGGTCTTCACTGCCCGCAGGTGAAGGCGACATCCACACCACCCCTGCCCATCGCAACCTCAAAGGACCACCCCTCCTGCCTGGCACCCCCAGGCCCTTCCCTCAGGACCTCCAGCTCCAGGAGGGGAGTGGGCCAAGCAGCATCAACACGGCCATGTGACCCATGGGAAGGGGACGAGAGAGGGCAGGAGACCCACCTCCCTCCCATGAAAACCCCACAGCCAAGGCCAAGGGTAGGGTGGCTCCCACAGGGCCCCCCAGCTGGGACCTGCCCAGCTAGAGGCCTGCTCTCTCCCCGGGAAGTGCTGGACCATGCAGCCTCCTCTGTGCAGACCTCGGGGCACCTTGTGGGGGGGGTGTCTTGTGCACCTGGCGGGGGGGGGGGTTGTTGATGAAAGTCAGCGGACAGAGAGCCTTCCAGAGAGGAGGGCCATCCCCGAGGCCCTGTGCTGTGGATGTCGCTGCATCTAATTGACCAGCGACCCAGGGTGCAGCAGGAAAACATCCAAACGGTGAAAAACAAGCCCAATACTCCACACCTTTCTCCAGTGGTGAGCATGCATGACTTTTCAACAAATGTGATATAATCTCGCAAGACCACTTCAGCTAAAAGCTGTTATTTTTTTAAGCACAAAAGCAGACTTCCACCAAGTTGCAGGAAACAAGGCTTAGAACACGACACTTCTGTCTTAACTCCCTATTTCGAATCTGACCAGAGTAGAAATGACAGATGGACACTTCCACTGTTTCAATTTCCAAATGGTTTCCCCATTTGCTGCTCTCCAGAAACATCCAGGCAAGCTAAGAAGGGCCGACCATCCATGACATCACTGCCCCCCACACAGCCCCCGAGTGCCAGGGCCGGGAGCCGGCACAGACGGGACAGAGGGCATCGCTTCCCCATGGTCTTCAGGGTCACGAGGTGGATGAACTAATAAACATGGCGGCAGGTTTGCGTGCAAACACTGCCCCGTTTTTGTTTAATTCAAGTTCATGGTAAAAGCCTGGAAACTGTGGTTTTCCTCCTTCCCATCAGGTTCTCATCTACCTGTGGCCATGCCCTGAATCTAAGGTCTTCGTGGGTGGGGCAGGGGCGGGGAACGAGGGGCTCAGGTCTTCTCTTCAGGACCAGAGTCCAGCAAACACAGGTCCATGGCCACCTGGCCCAGGCAGCCTGCGCCAAAGTGCTGACCTGTAACCTGTGGCCATGAGGGAGGGAGAAGTGGGGGGAGCGGTGGGGCCAGCCGGGGAGAGGGACCACCCAGCTCCCTCCCCAGTGGGATTGTGCTCTGGTGGCTGATGAGCCCCACCACCCCCTCCCCATCCTCCTCTGGGCATGTGGCTCTTCACCTGCCCCGTGGCCTGGGACGACCAGGAGTCCCCATGGGACGGCTTGTGCTGCCACCCCTGCAGCCCCAGGCCCTGCGTCCTGGCTGACCAAGCGGCAGCAGAGTCCTCTCCCTACACAGGTGCTGACCGTGTGTGCACACAGCTTCCTGCACCTCAGCCATTGTGGGGATCCAGCACTGTAGGATTTCCACACTAGGACGGGCTCAGACTCTTGGGGACCAGGGGTGGGAAAGGGGGTTCCCGGGGTCATGCCCTCACGGACCCCACAGCCCCAGCAGCCAGCACCAGTTTTCTAAGTCAGGATTTACCGGCGCAGAGCCACGCTTGCTGGCGTCCGGGCTACCCTGGCGGTCTTCCTGAGCTGCTGGGACAGACGCTGCACGGACGCCAGGCCCAAAACTGGTGCTGTGCGGCCCGCTATGGAAACTGTCGGAGTCCAGGTGTGGGACATAAGCCCCTGCCCAAAGCTGCCCGCACCCCCACCCGCGGTTGTGACAGGCAGGTGTGTCAGCAAACGTCACCCCGAGTCCCCGGGCATCAGAGCCAGGACTGGACCCCACACCGAAGTCAGCCCCTGGTTCTTTCGCCAGGCTCCAAAAGCAGCTAAGAACTCTGAGCGCTAAACTCACGTGCTCACATGAAGGCACATGCGTGTGTGCATGCGCACACACACGCACTCACTCACCCTGAGCTCCTGGGCCAGCATGTTCACTGCCCCTTGCTGTGAGGGGTTTCAGGATTCCCTCCATGTAACCCATAGCACCCCACGAAGGGGCCTCCGATGCAGGGGGTGTTAGCAAGGAGAGAGGGGAGGCCAGGGGGTCCCCACCCCGGGCAGCAGGGGTGCCCTGCCAGAGGCTGACATCCAGAAGACCCGCAGTGCAAGAGGCCCCCAAGGAGCCCCTCAAGGGACAGCCTCGGGCCCGCAGGCAGCACCTGGATGGCACACTGGCCCCTACACTGAGTGGGTACCCCAGCTAAGGCTGAGGCACAGAGCACCCCAACTGCCACCCCGTGAGCGCGAGACAAGGGCCCCAGGGAAGGCTGCAGGACCTCTAAGAGGACACCCTGTCGGCAGGTCTATGGACCACAGGGGTCCCACAGACGAGGAGGGGTCCACACGGCAGGCAGGATCCACGTGCCTAGACCTGGAGGGCTGTTCCCAAGGCCCCCCAAAGCCTACTTCCTGCCCACTTTTGCAGGCACTCAGACCAGACCCGGTGGGGGGTGGAAAGTCCCTCTATCCCCGAAGGCCCCAAAGCCAGGGTCCAGGGAGGTTTTTGCCCCAGGTTTATGGCGCACACCCCCCTCAGGGAGTCCCTGCATGTTTGGGACAGAGATCCAGGCCCTGACCTGAGCCACAGCTCTAAGGCACGGCCCCTGGGCACAGGCCGGTCAGGCAGTGACCCCTCCCTGCCCTGGTAGGTCAAACTGGACACTGGCCTTGGCTTCACAGAGTACTGGGAGCCTGGAGGGCAGGCGTGTCCCTGCCCTAGCGTGCAGGCGCCCTCGGCCTACGGGGGGGGGCTCCTGCCTTGGGCGCGGTGCCGGGGGGCTTCCAGAGGTCAGCTGCAACCCCCCCCCCCCCGGGGGGGTGGCACCCTGCTGAGGACCCGGTGGCTGGCCCCGTGACTCTGGCCAGCACGCAGCCGCCACACTTCCTTCCCAGGGCGGGCCCTGTGCAGGCCACGCCCTACCCGGGCCACGCCCACAACCCTGGTGGGTAAACAGCAGCTCGGGGCTGGCTCCCTCCCCGGACTGCGGGCTTCAGCGCCAGAACCCTCCAGACAGCCCCAGGACACACACAGCGCAGCCGTCCCCTGCTTACGGATGGGGGGGGGCGGAGGGAAGCCCGGGGACGGTCGGGGTCTGAACCCCCGTCCAGGCACGCAGATAGCACCAGCCACTCCCCCTGGCAAGGATGGCAGCACCCTGCCCCAGTGGGGCAACCTCAGCTGGACTCCAGGGCATAAGGCGTGGCACCACCCTGCGTTTCGCCCACAGGGCCCAGCCCCGCAGTGAGGCCAGGCTGCGCTGACACTGGCTCGTGCCTGGGGATGGAGGCCCCGGCCAGCCCGGCAGTGCCCTGCAGGTGATACCGCAGGGCCTTGGCAGGGAGAGACAGCCTGCCAGGCCCCAGGCCAGGGGCCCAGGCACCCCCCCCCCACCGTCCTGCCCTCCGTGCTGCTGAGGGTCCCCACTGGTTCCCTCCCCAAGGACAGAGAGCTGTGTGGGGAGGGGCCCTGGGGACTGGGCTGCCAGGCTGGCCAAGGTCTCCGTGCAGGAAACTGGGGGACCCGGAAACAAAGCTCAGCACAGAGTCCTTGGGAGCTGGGGGAGGATCAAATAGCCTCAGCTCCGAGGAAAGGCTGGGGACACTGAGAGCCCAGGAGACTCTAATGGGGGTCAGACCCAAAAGCAAAGTAGTTCTTCCCCGGAAGGTCCCCACTCTGCCGAGACGAACGCAGGGCCATTTGCACGGACACAGGAGAGAGAAGCAGCCTAGCCTGCAGTCCTTGGCAGGAGACCCGCAGCCGGCCTCAGCTCCCCCGCCCCCCTGAGGTCTCACCCATGCAACCAGCTCAGCAAACCCCCAGAGCAGCCAGGCCTGAGCTGGCCCGCGGCCAGGAGGAGCCGGCCCAGCCGCCTGCCAGAGCTCCCGGCCACCCCCGCGGCCTCCCTGCTCTGCAGACTCGGGACCCAAGTGGCTATGGAACCCGACAGCAGCCTCTGACCCCAGCCGGGTCCACGTTTGCTCTGGACCTCCCTTCCTCATCCTCCCACGGGGAGAGGCAACCCTGGTGTCCAGTAAAGAGGTGAAGAAACGTGGCTTCCGGACCAGAAACAGCCCAGGGGTCCATCTCAGTTGTCTGCAGGGAGCACCATATAGCCAGGAGCCTGCGGCCCCAGGGCGGGCCTGAGTCCAGACGGCAAGGTCCGCTCTGTGGCCGGGCTCCCCGCGTCCTACATGTTGGTTTAGAAAATATACCGCAGTCCCCCCCCGCCCCGGCCGGCAGCACCGAGGGACGGGCAGGAGCAAGTTCACGTGGGAGAGGGAGGCCGGAGAGAGCAGCCTCGCCGGGCCTCCAGGCCCACCTCTGCTCAGGGAGTTGGGGAAAACAAGTTGGCCGGGGAAGTCACAGCCTGGACACCAGCATGGTCCCTTGTCCAGGGCCACACATGGGAGGACGCCCCTCCCCCATGGTAGACCCAGGGTCTCTGGGGCCAGCCACGGGGCCAGGCTAGCACATCTGGCCCCCCCGAGGCCTGGACTCAAAGGTTTAACCACCACAGCAGCTGACTACATCCCTCTCTACACCATCTGGTGGCTACCCCCAGTCCACACCGCCTCTTTACCTCCCCACTGGCCAGGTCCCCTGTGAGGCAGTGGTCTGCCTGCTGGGGGTCACGCCACCCTATGCTACACTGGGCACCCTGCTCTCAGTCCCTCTGGGTCCCTGAGGACAGGGAGGGTATGCCCAGTAGGACCTGGAACAGGTGTCCGTCCTTATTTGTCCAGCGACCCACCCCGGGACCAGTGACCAGTAGGAGTGCACCCCGGGTGGAACGAGGGTGCTCTCCTGCCCAGGGACAGGCCTGCTGGGATTCCTGACTGGCTGGCTACAGAAGCTGGAGTCCCAACCTCGCAGGATGGGGTGTGGGTCACAAAGGCCCAGAAGTCTTGTATGGTAATCGCACCCTGGATGACTCACAACTGGGGAAGTTTGAAAAACACCAGCTCAGAGATGAAGGCCGGGGGCCTCGGGGTTTGTCAGACCTGATGGGCAGCTGGTCCTTGCTCCTGCTGTCCATGAGATCTTCCTTCACCACTCCGGGCTTCTGCTGTCCTTGGGCCATGCCTCAGACAGGGCCACCCCACTTGGGGGTCCTCAACCAGAGGTGCACCCCCAAACCACCCACAAAACAATGCCCACACCCACCCTGCACCCCAGTCTGAGCCTGTGGGGTCAAGGCAGGCCTGGGCCATCGGTATCCTTACTACACCAGAAAGAATCACGGCCTTGTAGGGAGACAGGAAGGATCGTGCAGAGCGGGGTGCCTGGCACTCAGCCCAGGTACCCAGTGGGGAGTCGATGAACGCAGGAGGATGCATGAGGGTGGGCACCAAGCAGCTGAGGGTATTCCCTCAGATCACAAAGCAGCTTGGCAGCAGGTTCAAGGCTCGGAGGGGAGGAGCCTGGCACCCTGGCCTGGCAGTGCCACACACTTGCTGAGACCTTGGAGGCCTCGGGGAGCTCTTCTCCTCTGCAAACATTTGGGGAAGGGAACCCATCTCCCGGGGTGCCAAGGGAGGGGATACCGCCTCCCAAAGATCCAGTGAGTCACCCTGCTTGCTGGGCCCTGCTCCAGGAGAGAGAACGGGACCTGCGCGAAGGGCCCCTCCCCTGGGACGGCTCTGTCCCTGCAGGAGACGTGGGCAATGATTTACCCCCACACGGGGCTTCCCGTCCTCCAGGTCTGCGCACCAGCTCTGGAAGCCGCTGCTAAATGACAGTTCCCGGCACGTGCCTGGCGGCACACCATGGGCACACCAACAGCTGCAGCCGGGCTGCCCTAGACACAGTCTGCACAACCCCACTGTGCTGGGACCCGAAAGCTCCCAATCGGGGCTCCCAGCTGCTGGGCCCGGCTAGGCAGGGCCCACACCCAGGATGGGGACCCCACCGAGGGACCAGCCCCGCCACTGTCACAGATGAAGGGGGGCAGGCACAGAGGAGAAACTGGCCTTGGGAAGGCTATGTATGGACCCTGCAGCTCAAGACCAGACACCCACTGCCCAGAACACCCAGGCCAGATTATAAGCTGCCAGTGGACCCCACCTGATGAACGGGCTGTAAACAGGAGCGCTGAACTCTTAACACTGTGGGCCCAGAACAGAAGACAGGGTGAAGGCAGAGCGGTAGGCAAAGGGGGGGTGAGGGTGGGCCGGGGTAGGTTTGGGACCGAGCCGTGGCGGGTTGGAGGTGCTGGGAGTGCAGCAGGAGCCCGTGCGGAGCAGAGCTGCACCCACCGAGGCCCGGGTTCTGTGGGTGGCTCTGGTTACAGCTCAACGTGGCCCTGGCAGGGCTAACGCCCACGAGTCTACGGCTGCCAGTTCCCATGCTGGGGAGCCCAGCCCGACCGGCTCCCTTCCACGAGGGGAGTGCTGATCTCCAAGCCAGGTAAGCCCCAGCCGGGGCGGGGGGGGGGGGGGGGGGGGGGGGGGGCAGAGGGTGGAGGCAGACAGAAAGGGAGGCCAGGCTGCCTCCTCCACAGACATTCCCCCCACAAGTCAGAGGGGCCCACAGCCTCCCCTGTCCTGAGTTGGGGAGCCCAGAAAACGGAGGAGGGATCCTATGCTGCAATGCCCCTCACCAAGGAGGAAAGGCCGGGCCAGGCACAGCCCTGCACAGACCCAGGAGCAGGAGCAGGCCCCAGGGGGCCATCCCGCCAGAGGGAGGAAGTAGTGGCCTTCAGTGGCAGGATACCTTGGCCACCGCAGGGCACAGGCTTGGCAGCTTCCAGGTGGCTTTGCTGCAGCACCCCCCCCAACCCCAGCCCCACCCCTTGGTCCCGCCAAGCACCCTCCGTGGTCTCCAGGGAGGAGTGGGGCGACAGTCACCCGGGAGGCCATATGTTAAATCACATGACTTGTGCATAAATGGTTTCTGGCCCATCTAATGGAGAGAGAATAGCAGCAGGTTAACTGTTGAAGAGTGATGGTCTTCCTACCACGTCCAGGCGACTGCCACAAAATCTGGGCCCCACGGAGGGAAAAAGTTGGGCCTCTGCAAGGGGAGCCATTTATTGCTTGCAGCCTCCAGATAAGGCCCAGCAGGAGCACTAAGACATCAGTGCCTGATTAATGCCTAATCATTTATCTGTGAGACAGCTCACGACCATGTGACACTGTATCCAGGAGACTCTTCCTGCTGCTGGGTCCCTGCAGCGGGCGCACAGGTGCGTCTCAGGGTGATGTGCCCCCAGGCCTGCCCAGGGACCCCCTTCCACCCGAGAAAGCAGGGCACCCGCCACCACCCCCCTGCCCAGCACCTCCACCTGTATGTTTTCACTCCTACACTGCCAGGGTCTCCCCCACCCACCACCACCAAACACTGCTTTTGAATCCCATGGCTGGACACAACTGCTTGCCAGCAACCCAGAGCCCCGAGGGGCTCCTAGGAGCCTGGGGGGGCCCCAGGACATTAGGCAGGGCACCCCCACTCGTGAGTGACTGGCAGGGCAAGTCCAGCGCTCATCTGAACCCACTCCCCCGCCACCCCCCAACCGATGACAATTCTGAAAACAGCCGAATTCAACAGTGCGTCTGAACAAAGAAAAGTGCGTTAATTATGGCAGACGTGCGGAGTTCGGGGAGCCGGCGGCACGCGGCGGCGGCGCGGGGACACGGGCTGTGCGCCCAGCGCCCGGCTCCCCTCGGCGCCCACCGCCGCTCCCGCCCGGCAAGTCGCGACGACTTTGAGAGCCACTTTGGCCCCCCGAGTGGCGGCCGCACTCGCGCGCCCCGGAGCCCGGACTCAGGAAACCGAAAGCGGGCGCCGGCGCCGCGCCGCCCCCGCCCTGGAGCCGGTCCGCGCCCTGGGCCCGCCGGCGCGGTGGGGGTGGGGGCGTCCCGGGAGATTCGTGGCGCCCCGGGGCCCGCGCCCCCACCCCCGCTCACTTTTTCGTGCAGTCCAGCAGGATCCCGGCGAAGCTGCGCTCGCCGCAGCTCACGGTGACCAGCAGCGCGCCGTTGACGACCTGCTCCACCCGCACCGGCAGCCGGCAGCCGGCCCGCGGCTCCATGCTCCCGCGCCGCGTCCCGGCCCGCGCGCCCCCGCCCCCGCCCCGCCGCCGCCGCCGGGTCAGCCCGCGCGTGACGCCGCCCGCCGGCCGCCTGACGTCACAAAGCTCCGCTCGGGGCGGCCACCGCGAGCGGGCCGGGACGGCGGGAGGGGCGCGCGGGGCACCCCCGCCCGCGAACGCGGGCCTGAACAGGGCGCCTCGGAGCCGGCGCGGAAGCGCATTGCGGACCCCCGGGACGGGGCAGGGCTGCGCCCTCCCCTGGGCCCCGCGGCTGCGAGCGCCCGCCGAGAGGACCTGCGGGCCTGAGCTCAGGACCCCTGCTCCAGGGCCACCCCCCCACCCCCACCCTCACCCTCACTCCCAGCCCTGCCCGGCCCCCTCCTCCCCGCGCCCCCGCGCCCCCCGCCTCCGGTCAGGCGCCCGGTGGCCCCCCGGCACTGTAGGGAGGAAGTCCCGGCGACGCGAGCAGGAAGCCGGTCGGGCCGGGCCGCGGAGACGCGGGCGCCTAGGGGACACCGGCGGGCGCCCCGCGGCGGCCCACTCTAACCCTTGCCGCGGAGGGGGCACTTGGCGACCCTCTTGTGCTCGGTGCATCACCGGGTGACCAGAGGGCGCACGCCTGGCTCAGGGCTGCCTGTGCGCCTGGGGGTGGCCCGCGACGGCGTTGGGGAGGGGGATCCGTCTGCAGGTCTCGGTCGCGCGCCCCCGGGTCGCTGGGGAAACTGCGGGCTGCGTGCGACCCCGCCGCGCCCAGAGGGGCAGGGGCCCCACGGGGCGTTCACAGCGGAAAGGACTGCCTTTCCCGAGCGAGAGCGGGGCTCCCCCATGCGCGCAGCTGTCCGGCTGGGGGGCATGGGAGGTGCAGGCAGCGAGCAGACGTGGGCCCCACCTGGGACCCCTCCCCGGGCCCTGTGCTCCCGCGCGCCTCCAGCCCACCAAGACTCTCGACTATCCCGAGCCTTTGCGCATCCCGCACCTGGCTCGGGACCCCGTAACCGGCAGAGCCCCCAGGGCCGGCCTGTTGCGGTGACCTTGCCCCGGGCCCAGCACCGCCCGGCCCAGCTCGGCCGAGCTCGGCCGGCTGGTCCCCTGAGCTGGGCTTGCTGCGCCTGGCTGGGCACAGGAGATTGGCGGGTCATTGGGTTGTCCTGACGACTCGGACGCCGCCAGGCCCCGCCCCTCCATCTCCCCCCTCCCGCCGTGAGCCCAGCCTGCGCACGGCCCCGCCCAGCTCGGACCTGCGCTGTGGCCGCCACCCCTGGCGCCGCCGGGGACTGTCGGGGCCCGCAGTGGCGCCGCTCCTACTCGCCCTCCTGCTGCGGCCGCGGCGTGGGGAGCAGGCAGAGGGGAGCCCGCCAGGAGCAGGCAGTGCCTCCCAGCCCCCAGTTTGACAGGGCTGAGGATCAAGGCCCAGGGAGCCCTAGAAGGAGGCCTGGGAGCCCAGGAAGCACCTGTTCTGTGTGTGGTTGGGGGTTCCAGCAGACACCAGCCGTCCTTTGGGAAGTGAGGGACTCCACTGGCAGGCCTCAGGCACCTCAACATGGCCGCCCATTCTGGGTCAGGAGGCTCCCTCCCTGTCACTGTGGGGCCCCCACAGGGAGCCTCTGCACCCATAGGACTTTGCAGCCTTCCCCACTCCAGAGCTAGGTAGGGCTGGCTTGGGGGCAGAAATGCCAGGCCATCCTTGGTGGCAGGTGCCAAGCATGCCCCATATGCCTTCTGGGCACTGGGGACACCACCGTGAACCAGGTTCCTGGGGTTTGAGTCGGCTCCAGGACTGCTGGGGACATCCAGGTGTGAGCATGTCCCTGTGTGCCCAGGGAGCTCTGTGCGGACAGGAGGCCTCTGGAAAAGATGCCCTGGAGGGGATGCTTGAGTGAGCAAGCATTCCCCCGGGGGAGGAGGGCCTCACGGGGCAGCTTGGGCAGAGTTGCTGGGTGCTGGGGTGCACACAGAAGGGGACCTTCTGAAGAGCATGCCGTATGGTGGGGAGGTGGGGGCTTCTGGGGTCAGTCCCAGGCATTCGCAGGATCAGCAGTCTGGGGGGAAGCCGGGCAGGACAGGGAGTGTTTGCTGGGGCAAGGAGGGCCCACAGAGGCCGTGGAGGGTGTGCAGACCCACGCTGCACAGCTGAGTCGGGGAGAACAGGGGAGAAACCCCCCCACCCCCATCTTCTCTCAGCCTCTGCCCCTGCTGGGCTATGTGCTGGGCACTAAGTGGAGTTGGAAGCCATTTTCAGAAACCCACTCTGCACAAGGCAGAACAAAGGGATGTGCAGACAGGACTTTGATCTGGAATTTAAAGGGTGACTGTTTGGGGGTCCTGCTCCCCGCAGCCCAGCCAACTCACCTGCTACCCACCACAGAGCCTCTGATGAAAATGCAGATATCCTTAGGAAGGTGGAATCAGCCCAGGGGCCCTGTGTGCTGACCCCATGTGCTGACTCCTTCCTGACCCAGTGCTCTCTCCTCTAAGTGTCCCCTTCAAAGGCCAACGCTACACATGCAGGTTCTAGACAGAACGGCCCCAGGCAGCGGGGGCTGAGAGCGGCTGCCCACTGCGAGCTGCCCACAGGCTGCCTAGCAGGGCTGTGGAAGGGCTACGGAGTGACCCCCAGCTAAAGGAAAACAGGGCTGGAGCTTCCTCCCTAGGTCTCTGAACTTGGTCCCTAAAGCCTTTGCTTTCTGCTGCGGGCACTGGAGCCTCCACCAGGTCTACCCAGTGCCCAGCCCTTGGCCTGGCCTGCCCAGGGCACCAGCAGAGTCACCAAGGGCTGGCAAGCCTGGACAGAAGGGCAGGGTGGTGGCATGAAGGGGGACAGGAGATTGTCTAGCACCCTCACTGGGCTGAGCTGAGTGACCATGAGCTGGTGGGAGGGGTGCTCCAGGCAGGGGGCTAACCTCTGTGTCCCCTTCCCCTGGGGTGCTGATCTTCAGGGGTCCTCCGGGATCTGCCCCTGCTCCCTGCTGGCATCATGCACACCACCAGCCCCGACCCTCCTCCTGCAGGCCCCAGGCCGGTGTCCCCCCTCCTAGCCCCTTCCCCCACAGGACAGCCCGCTGAGCGCTCCCCAGCACAGTCCCTCAGTCTCGCCAGCTATAGGGCTTTTGCTCACACCTTTGTCATTCTGTCTTTTCTCAGTGCCACTCAGGGTTTGCATGAGCCCTGCCTCATGGGTTATGAGGATGATTGTCCCAACTCACGAGGAAGCTGGTCACCCGCCTGGCTGGGAGCAGAACCGGCCGGGACTCCGCTGGAGGGGCTAGGGAGCAGTAAAAAGGGTGGACTGGGGCCAGGTTGCTGGAATCCTGCCCTGTGACCTTGGGGAGGCCGCCTACCTCCCCCCTGCCTCAGCGTCCTCATCTGTAAAGTGGGAATAACCGCAGCACCACCACATGGCCTCCAAGTGGAGAGTACAAAGTCTAATACTTGGAGTACTGAGCATAGCACTGGCCTCCAGTAAGGCCTCTGGAAGACTTAGTTGTCACCAACACCATCACCACGGTCCCCTCCGTCACCACCATCACCTCAGCTGCCGGAACCCAGATGCAGATGTTGAAACACATGAGGGAACATTCTGGAGGCGCAGCATGAAGAGAGTGAGCTGAGTTCTGCGGGTGTCTCCTGGGGGTGTCCTGACGGCTGGGTCACCCCCCTTGCCGAGTCTTCTCGGCAATGACCAGCGCATGACCAGCAATGAGAGGCCCATAGAAATTCAACTTGCCTGAGGCCCCAGGCAGCCTCCTGGGTTTTCATTCCCCTGACACCTCATTAACCTCATTAGACATCTTCTGTGTTGTGGTTCTTGTCAAACCTCACACCAGAAAGCGGGGCTTCTGTTTGCTAAGACATCATGATATTTCACAGCTGAACTAGTTGTAAGTTACCCAACCTGGGGGTGATTTGGAGAAAAACCTCTCAGAGCTCACAGCCCACCTCGCCGAGGCTCTGTCATGCCTCCCGCTCTCAGCCCCCAGGCCTCCTGAGCACCCCCCCAGGACAGGCGCCCCCCTCACCCACTTCTAGAGGGTCAGGTGAGCAGGCGGTATCACCGGGAGAGGCCTGTGTTGGTCCTTCGGAGCCAAGTCCAGGGAACAGCATTCCCGGGCACACACCAAACCTTGCTGTGGTGACCGCAGAAAGCCTCAGGCAAGCCCAGGTGGTTCTGTCCCACCTGCCCACTCCCCTGCCTGTGGGTGCACATGGTCCTCCTGCCCCATGTAGCAACACAGGGATGGGGCCCCACTGGGAGGGTAGGATGGGGCGTGGCACCATTTCTTCCCACCCAGGAATGCTGGGAGGTAGGGGCTCTGCTTCCCATGAGCCTCTGGCTCCTCAAGTACATGGTAGCTGTTTTCAGCCCCATAACATGCCTTTCTGTGCACTGGGAAATATGCAGCCCCAAGCCCGTGAGAACCTCCTGGCATCCTGCCCCATGGGGATGGTGCAAACGGCCAGCCTCTGTCCGGACACCCAAGAGGGCAGACACCAGGAGCCCCAGCGGCCCGCACACCCCACGACCTGCCCCAACCCAGTCCAGCAGCACTGCCAGCCCCCCGACATGGCCACGACCTCCATTCAACCCGGTGCGGGGGCCCCACCCTGCCCCCACCCTGCCCCCCTGCCCTGCAGGAGCCCAGGTCTGGTCCTGCTCCTCTCAACAGGCAAGGTGTCCCCCCGCCCGATGACCACCTGGGGTACCTGAACGCACCTCTGCCCATAAGGCCTGGGGCCACGTCCTGGCCACACTGCCACACTGTGGGTTGCTTCTGAGACATGGGTGGGGAGGCAGGAGTGTTCGTCCTGGGCTAGATGGTGGCCGGTGTGGGGGATTCCGAAGGGCACCAGCTCCTGGCGGCACGGGTGGCCAGTGGGAGGAGAAGGGGTCGCAGCCACGGGCCGGGCCTGACCCTCCTTTCAGGCCTGGGTCTCTGAGGAATCCAAGGTGCCTGGTCAAGGTGCGCGGAGACGCCCCAGACATCAGCCTGTGGGGTGGCCCTGTCCTGGCCCTGGGCGCAGGGCATCTGCCCTCCTGGGTGGGTGTGGGCCTCCGGAGAGCCCAGAACCAGGTCGTGGCTAACACGAGGCGCCACCTGCAGGAAAACGTGGGTCATGGCACCAAGGCCTGCAGGGTACTCGGTGCCGGGCCAGGGCTCTGCTCCCAGAGCAGGTCCTGGGTGGGGACACCTGGCCGTGGCCCCACAGCCCACACCATCCCACCTCCTAGCATAGTCTCTGCCCCCACCCCGGCTTCCTGGCTCCTCCTCCAGGTCCTCCTCCCTCCCCCTTCCCAGGGCTGCTGGGCAGAGAAGGAGGTCCTAGGACAGACAGTCCAGGCCACTGGGCACAGAGGGGCTCACTCAGAAACCAAGGAAGGAGGACATGACCACGCAGCAGAAGGGAGCACGAGGGGGTCAGTCAGGGGCCAGGGAGGGCACCCCCACCCCAGACACTCCAAATCTACAAGGTAACCCACCACAAGGCCCAATCAGGAGCAGGGCCAAGCTAGGATGGGCCTCTACACCTGACCCCCCAGCTAGCCTGAGCACCTGCAAAGTAGTAGGAGTCTGGGTTACTCATCCCCGGGCAAGCTTGCGGTAAGTAAGGGACACCACATCATGGCAGAATGTTATTCCAACAGCCGATTCTTAGGAGAAGAGATAAAGAAACCACTGGCTAAGCTAAGGGAGGGGAGAATGGGGGTGTGGGGAGTGTCCCCGGGAAGGCGGCCGCTGCCCCACGCCCCCTCCCCTCCAGGCCAGTCTACCCGCCTCCCCGGCATCGGGCAGGGGCCAAGCTCTAGAGGTGGTGTGGGGTCCCCAGGTGAGCGATCAGGTGGTGCTCGTCCTCACAAGGGCAGCGGGAATAGCACGCCAGGGTCTGGGGGGGGGGGCACCGGACCCCAATGTGGGGCCTTGGTCTAACTGCCTCCCTCCCACCCAGAGGCCAAGGAGCTGAGGTCAAATCAAGGACATTTTCAAGGTTAAGGCCTGGAATTTATTTAACACTCAATCAGACGGTCCTGCAGAGAGTAAGTCGGGCAGGGTCTGACTGGCCTGGGTGAGGGTGGGCTGCGAAGGGCGGCCGGGGGCAGAGGTGTGTAAGCAGGAAGCGTGAGGCCAAGGGAGAAGAGCAGTGCCGGGTGCAGGGAGGGGACTCACAGACTTCTGACCCCCCCAACTGAAACGCGTGAGTCAGTGGGCACGAGGGTCCCACGGGTGGCCAGGGCGGCAGGGGTGGGGGAGACAGGGGCTGACACCAAAACATGTTGTCAGCCGGATCTGCAGAGACGTGGGCACGGGAGTGAAAACCGCGTGGCTTGTTCACCGCATCCTCTCCTTTAATCCAGCTTAAACCCTGTACAGCCTCGGAAGGAGCCACGCAGCCGAGGCCGTGAACAACCGCCCAGGGGTGGCGTCGGACCCGCCCCCTCCCCGCCAAACGCTTGGAAGGGGGCACCTGGCAGGCTCACAAGCTGCTAAACCAAATCCTCAGGTCTGAAGAGTTTCGGTCAGCACAAGTGATACTCGCTCCTTAGCATCTGTCATCTCTCCTCTTACTAGTTCACGTTAAACAGTATATCCCAAGGCCGAGATGCAGGTGCGTGGAGTGGCAGGTGTCCAGCGAGAGCGGTCAACTGGCGGCTTCTCATCCAGGTCGGTCCCAGCCTCAGTTTCCTCACTTCGCCCTGTAGCTTTCTAGCCTTTTGGGAGAAAGGGAGGGGGTAAAGTTATCCAGGCCGGCAGGGCCCGCGGCAACAGCATGCCTCCGGTGCAGACACACGGACCCATGCAGGGGCGGGCAGCACCCTGTCCCCCCCGGCCGGAGCCCGCCTTCCTCGAGGGGCCTACTCACCGCGGGATGCTCTGCAATGGAGGCAGCTGAGCGCGCCCTCTGGCCCGTGGAGGACGGCGGCCTCTTAGGTCGGCCCAGGGACCACCCCTCTTGGAGTCCCACCAGGGCCCCGCCCGGGACCTCTGCCTACAGCTGTCTGAGTGAACGCCAGGTGATGGACGGATGAAGGCTCTCCTGCTCACCATCCCTGCCCATGGTCACACCTGAGACTCACACCTGCCCTGGGTGGCCAGGGCCACAATTGCCACCCTCCCACCACAGACACAGCAACAGGACCAGGGGTCCCTAAGAGAGTTCCCCGCCAGTCTGCTGGGCCCGGGAAGTGGGACAGAGCGGCCAGCATCAAGGAGCAGGCTCTTTCCTGCCTCTGCCCCGAGAGAGGCTGGCCAGTGGGAACTTAGCAGTACTGGGCCCACCCCATCCCCAAGAAGGGCCCGTCCTTTGTGCTCCCCCCTGTTCCTCAGTTCTACCTCCCTGGGGCATGACCTGGACCCCGCCTCCAGCCCAGGCACCTGAGTCCCCTCATACAGTCCCATCACAACAAGGGGCGAAATGAACGTCCAGCTTTATGTCGCTCGGACTCGGTAAATAGTACATCTGACCGTCGCACAACGTCCAAACCTGCCCGGTCTGAATTCCGCGTGAAACTGTTCACCCCCCAACTCTACTAACAGCCTGCTGTGGGCCAGAGCCGCAGTCGACTAGCACATGCTGTGTGTATTCTTCCAGTAAAGTCAGCACGAGAGGACACGGTCGCTTCGGAAATCACATTTACAGCACCGTCCCAGGGACGATGCGCCCCGCGGAGGGCACACCTGTGTTGCTCATGGGCGGACTGTACTTGCTGCCAATCCAGCAAGTGTCCACCGGTGACATCTTTCCCGTAGAAACCTGTGTTCTTCGTGGGTTAAGAACTGCTCCTTCGAAAGTCTTCCTTTGTCTTCGACATACTTGTCACGGATTCCTCAATGTCCTCTCCCCTTGGTCAGACGCTCAGCCTCCTCTGTCTGCCCAGGAGACACCCTGCAGGATCCTGGCTGCACTCCAGCCTGGCGGCCTGCACAGCGGGCTGTCTGGGGGCGCCCGGGCACTCTCTTGGGTCAGCTTCCCTTTTTCCAGAACATTTACTCCTCTTTCCTGCTCTGCTGTCTTGTTTTGGAGAAATGCATTCTGTGGTCGCTTCCCAAGAAAAGCTGCGTGGAAAGTGCCTGAGACCCCACCCGTGAAGGCACCCCATCCCCCGTCCTCTGCAGGCACCTGGCACCTGGCCTGATGGTCAGAGCACAGCACTCCCCCCCGATGGCAGACCACTCTGCCCCTCGGTGAGGAGTCCACTCCGTTCCTCTCTCCTGCCCTTCCCGTGTGCCCTATTCCCTCCCAGCAATCTCAGGTTTCAGTTTCAAATTAGACTTTTCAGAAAACGAAGAGGCTTTATTCCTGTAGAGCTGTCTTCATCCCCCACCAGCTGGGACATCTGTCACAATCCAGGAGCGACACGGACCCACTGTCATCACCCAGGGTCCGTAGTGCCCACCAGGGCTCACTCTTGTGTTGTGCATTGCACCGGTTTAGACAGACGGACAGTGACAGGTGTCCATCACTGTGTGGTCACAGTGGTTCTGCTGCCTGAGCATCCTCCCTGCTCCGCCTGTCCTCCCTCCTGGCAACCACTGATCCTCCCACATCTGTAGAGTTTTGCCTTTTCCAAAATGTCATACAGTTGTCACCTCAGACCGGCTCTCTCACTTAGTAATATGCATTTGAGGTTCCCTCGGGTCTTTTCATGGCGTGATAGCTCATTCCTTTTTGGACCCAATGATATTCCATGGGATCCATAAACAGTTTGCTTATCCACTCACCTACTGAAGGACATCTCAATTGCTCCTGGGTTTGCTAACTATGAGTGAAGCTGCTATGAACATTCATGAGCAGGTTTTTGCGTGGACCTAAGTTTTCAACTCTTTCAGGTAAATGCCAAGGAGCACAATTGCTGAATCTCAAGGTAAGAGTACATTCAATTTTGTAATAAATCACCAAACTGTCTTCCGAAGTGCCTGCACTATTCTGCACCCGCCAGCAGTGAACGTGAGTTCTTGCTGCTCCACATCCTCACCAGCATCCGGTGTGGTCAGTGGCGCCACTCTAATACATGTGAGTAGTATCTCTGTTTTAATTTGCAATTCCCTCCTGACATACAATATTGAGCATCTTTTCCTATGCTTAACATCTCTATATCTTTTTTGGTGAGGTGTCTGTTCAGATCCATGGCTCATGTTTTAACTGGGTTGTTTGTTTTCTTTGTATATTTTGGATAGCAGTCCTTTATCAGATGTGTGTTTTGCAGATATTTTCTCCAAGTCTCTAGCTTGTCTTATTCTTTTCACAGCATCTTTCACAGAGAAAAAATTTTAAATTTTAATGAAGTCAGGTTATCAATTTTTTCTGTCATACCTTTGGTGTTATATCTAAAACTCCCTGCCAACCCAAGGCCAGCTGCTCTTTCTCCTATTTTATTTCCTAGAGGTTTTGCAGTTTCACGTCTCACATTTAGGTCTGTGATGCGTCTTGAGTTAACTTCTGTGAAGGTGTGAGGTCTGGCTCTAGATTCTTTATTTTGCACGTGTTCCAGCACCATTTCTTGAAGAGACCACCTTTGCTCCGCTGTGTTGCCATTGATCCTTCGTCAAGCGTCCGTCGACTGTACTTACGTGGGTCCATTTCTCCGATTCGTTGACCCGTTTGTCTACTTTTTCACCAACACCACACCGTCTTGACTACCGTAGATTTACAGGGAGTCTCTAGGTCGGGTAACGCCAGTCCCCCAACCTTGTTCTTCGCCTTCAGTGTTTGTGGCGATTCTGGGCCTGTGTCTCCTCTCCATCTAAACGTTAGCATCGGGTTGTCGATACCTACAACATAACTTGCTGGGATTTTGATTGGGATTGTGTTGAATCTCTAGTCTTCCCATCCATGAACATGGGATTCCTCTCATCCATTTAGTTCTTCTTTGATTTCACTCATCAGAGTTTTGTTTTTCTCATATGGATCCTGTACATATTTTGTTAGATTTGTACCCAGCACCATTTTTTTGGTGCTAATGTAAATGATATGCTCTTAAATTCAAATCCCACTTATCTGCTGATATATTGGTAAGCAATTGGCTTTTATATATTAACCTTGGATCCTATAACCTTGCCATGACCACTTTTTAGTTGTAGGAGTTTTTTTGTCAATTCTTTTGGATTTTCTTTTTTTTAAAAAAAAGATTTTATTTATTTATTTCACAGAGAGAGAGAGACAGCGAGAGAAGGAACACAAGCAGGGGGAGTGGGAGAGGGAGAAGCAGGCCTCCCGCGTAGCAGGGAGCCCAATGCGGGGCTCGATCCCAGGGCCCCGGATCATGACCTGAGCCGAAGGCAGATGCTAACAACTGAGTCACCCAGGCGCCCCTCTTTTGGATTTTCTACATAGACAATTATGTCAACTGAAAACAAAGACAGTTTTAGCTCCAGCTTCTTAACCTGTATATCTTTTCCCTTTCTTGTCTTGTTGCAAAAGCTAGGACTTCCAGTATGATGCTGGAGAGGAATGTTCAGAAGGGTTGTCCCTGCCTTGTTCCTGATCTTCAGGAGAAAGGGTGGTTTCTAGTTTTTCACCATGAAGTATGATGTTCACTGTAGCTCTTGTACATGTTCTTTATCAAGTTAAGGAAGTTCCACTCTATTCTCAGTTTGCTAAAAGCTGTTATCACAAATAGGTGTTGGATTTTGTCAAATGTTTTTTCTGCATCCACTGACATGATCATGTTATTTTTCTTCTCTAGCATTATATAAATTGATCTTCAAATGCTGAATCACCCTTGCACACCTGGGATAGATTCCACTTGGTCATGGTGTATAATTCTTTTTATATATTAAGTTTGATTTGCTAATATTTTATTGAAGATTTTTGCATCGATTTTCAGGAGAGATATTGGTCTGTTGTTTTCCTCCAATGTAACACCTTTGTTCTGATTTAGAGTAATGCTGGCCTCATAGAATGAATTACGATTTTTTCCCTCTGCCTATGTTTTCTGGAAGAGATTATAGAGAGTGGGTATAATTTCTTCCTTAAATGTTTGATAGAATTCACCAGTGAACCCAGTGGAAAATTATTATTGATTCAATTTCTTTAATGGATATCAATCTATTCCGATCATCTACTCCTTCTTGTATGAGCTTTGGCAGATGGTGTCTTTCAGGGAACTGGTCCATCTCATGTTAGGTTTGTGAGCACAGAGTTATTCCTAACACCAAACAGACTTTTCACTCCCCTGCAATGTGAAGCTTGAGACACAGATGTTTAGAAGTCGTGGTAGGGTTTGGGGTGTTTAAGGAGGCGGTTACAGCTGTAGACAATAGATTTGGGAAGAATAAATCTCACCTGAAGGCAGGTACAGTTCTCTGGGCTGGGAAGGAAAAGATTCTGAGAAGAGGGGAGAATCTGATGGGGGGGTCCCCACGACATGGCCCAGGCCCTCCACTTGCACTCCCACCTTCCCCGTCCTGCCCCAGGTCCACGGAGAGAGGTGACAATGAGCCCTCCGACGGGCAGTGCTGAGCTGCTGCATCGGGGGTGAGACTTGCAGACCAGAGCCCAGGCGGCAGGGGAGAGCAAGCATGTTCTCCTGCACCGTGAGCAGCAAGGGCACAGAAACATCAGGGTCAGCCTACACAGACTCTCTGAGCTCGGTCATTCTAGGGAGGACCACGGGTTCCCTCCACCAGCTGGGTGGGTAACTATGGCTCCTTCAGGGTGGAAAGCTGCCTTCCTTGACCCCAGCATCACTCTCATGACCCTGGTCATTTCTGCACAAGCAGCAGGTGCGTACCAGGACCTGCGAACGGACGGACGCATGTGAAAAGGCCAGCCTCCCTGCCACACAGACACCGGAGGCTCAGCCCGCGCCCGGCTGTGGCCAGGCCCTCTCACGGCCCCACCAGGCTCTGCTGGGCACAAAGCGTGGGCGAGGACCCCACAGACACGTCCCTATCTGTCCCCCCCGATCAAATGGTGGCATAACACATCTGTGGGCTCACGTGCCGCGAAAACACTTTCCTGTCCTCTAACCATGATCCTGGGCATGCCCTCACCGTGAGGCCCGGTAAACGCTCCCCATCATGGGAGAGAACACGCGCGTGGCAAGTTCCCTTTGATTTTCCCCAGAACACTTTATTTTTACACACAGCCGACAAATACTTACAATCTCCAAATCCTGCACAGCCTGCCCACTTTCCTCGAGTGGCTCCATCCCCTGAAACCCTTTTCTGCGTTTCTGTACTTTCTGAATGTGCTGTTTTAGGTGTTCTTCTAGATGCCCCTGAGGAAACAAAGGGTAAAGGAAAGGGTTTTACACATGGAGTCGAGTCTCAGAAACTCCTCTTCCAACACGGGAGAGAGAATTTTCCTTTTTCCTCCAGGCCACACTAGAGTCCCGCGGCTCAGGGGCTGTCACGACATGGTGACAACGCAGTGATGGTGGGGCCATGAGAGGCCATGAGAGGCCACCGGCTCTCCCTCCAGGCAGCAGCTCAGACAGGCCCAGATGGTTAGAAGCTGTGAGAACACACTATGTTTTAAACTTCAAATCCAGGTAAGAAATGACACATTCAGGACAATGCACAGAAAGCCACATGATGGGGAAGGTCTTTTTTATTTTTTCAGGAAGCCAGCCCTGTGCCCCACTTTCTTTTTAATTTTTGTATTGTTATGTTAATCACCATACATTACATCATTAGTTCTTGATGTAGTGTTCCATGATTCATTGTTTGTGCCTAACACCCAGTGCTCCACGCAGAACGTGCCCTCTTTAATACCCATCACCGGGCTAACCCATCCCCCCACCCCCCTCCCCTCTAGAACCCTCATTTGTTTTTCAGAGTCCATCGTCTCTCATGGTTCGTCTCCTCCTCTGACTTACTCCCCTTCATTTTTCCCCTCCTGCTATCTTCTTTTTTTTTTTTAACATATATTGCATGATTTGTTTCAGAAGTACAGATCTGTGATTCAGCAGTCTTGCACAATTCACAGCGCTCACCACAGCACATACCCTCCCCAATGTCTATCACCCAGCCACCCCCTCCCTCCCACCCCCCACCACTCCAGCAACCCTCAGTTTGTTTCCTGACATTAAGAATTCCTCATATCAGTGAGGTCATATGATACATGTCTTTCTCTGATTGACTTATTTCACTCAGCATAACACCCTCCAGTTCCATCCACGTCGTTGCAAATGGCAAGATCTCATTCCTTTTGATGGCTGCATAATATTCCATTGTGTATATATACCACCTCTTCTTTATCCATTCATCTGTCGATGGACATCTTGGCTCTTTCCACAGTTCGGCTATTGTGGACATTGCTGCTATAAACATTGGGGTGCACGTACCCCTTCGGATGCCTACATTTGTATCTTTGGGGTAAATACCCAGTAGTGCAATTGCTGGATCGTATGGTAGCTCTATTTTCAACTGTTTGAGGAACCTCCATACTGTTTACCAGAGGGGTTGCCCCAGCTTGCATTCCCACCAACAGCGTAGGAGGGTTCCCCTTTCTCCACATCCCCGCCAACATCTGTCATTTCCTGACTTGTTAATTTTAGCCATTCTGACTGGTGTGAGGTGGTATCTCACTGAGGTTTTAATTTGGATTTCCCTGATGCTGAGCAATGTTGAGCACTTTTTCATGTGTCTGTTGGCCGTTTGGATGTCTTCTTTGGAAAAATGTCTGTTCATGTCTTCTGCCCATTTCTTGATTGGATTATTTGTTCTTTGGGTGTTGAGTTTGATAAGTTCTTTATAGATTTTGGATACTAGCCCTTTATCTGATATGTCATTTGCAAATATTTTCTCCCATTCTGTCGGTTGTCTTCTGATTTTGTGGACTGTTTCTTTTGCTGTGCAAAAGCTTTTTATCTTGATGAAATCCCAATAGTTCATTTTTGCCCTTGCTTCCCTTGCCCTTGGCGATGTGTCTAGGAAGAAGTTGCTGCGGCTGAGGTCGAAGAGGTTGCTGCCTGTGTTCTCCTTTAGGATTTTGATGGACTCCTGCCTCACATTTAGGTCTTTCAACCATTTGGAGTCTATTTTTGTGTGTGGTGTAAGGAAATGGTCCAGTTTCATTCTTCTGCATGTGGCTGTCCAATTTTCCTAATACCATTTGTTGAAGAGACTGTCTTTTTTCCATTGGACATTCTTTCCTGCTTTGTCAAAGATGAGTTGACCATAGAGTTGAGGGTCCATTTCTGGGCTCTTGATTCTGTTCCATTGATCTATGAGTCTGTCTTTGTGCCAGTACCATACTGTCTTGATGATGACAGCTTTGTAATAGAGCTGGAAGTCTGGAATCATGATGCTGCCAGCTTTGGTTTTCTTTTTCAATATTCCTCTGGCTATTCGGGGTCTCTTCTGGTTCCATACAAATTTTAGGATTATTTGTTCCATTTCTTTGAAAAAAGTGGATGGTATTTTGATGGGGATTGCATTGAATGTATAGATTGCTCTAGGTAGCATTGACATCTTCATAGTGTTTGTTCTTCCAATCCATGAACATGGAACGTTTTTCCATTTCTTTGTGTCTTCCTCAATTTCTTTCATGAGGATTTTATAGTTTTCTGAGTACAGATCCCTTGCCTCTCTGGTTAAATTTATTCCTAGGTATCTTATGGTTTTGGGTGCAATTGTCAATGGGATCAACTCCTTGATTTGTCTCTCTTCTGTCTTGTGCTTGGTGTATAGGAATGGCACTGATTTCTGTGCATTGATTTTATATCCTGCTACTTGACTGAATTCCTGTATGAGTTCTAGCAGTTTTGGGGTGGAGTCTTTTGGGTTTTCCACAGACAGTATCATATCGTCTGCAAAGAGTGAGAGTTTGACTTCCTCCTTGCTGATTTGGATGCATTTGATTTCTTTTTGTTGTCTGATTGCTGTGGCTAGGACTTCTAATACTATGTTGAATAGCAGTGGTGATAGTGGACATCCCTGCCGCGTTCCTGACCTTAGGGGAAAAGCTCTCAGCTTTTGCCCACTGAAAATGATATTCGCTGTAGGTTTTTCATAGATGGCTTTTATGATATTGAGGTATGTACCCTCCATCCGTATACTCTGAAGAATTTTGATCAAGAAAGGATGCTGTACACTATCCTTCTGGGTATTTACCCCAAAGATACAAATGTAGGGATCCGAAGGGGTACGTGCACCCCAATGTTTATAGCAGCAATGTCCACAATAGCCAAACTGTGGAAAGAGCCAAGATGTCCATCGACAGATGAATGGATAAAGAAGAGGTGGTATATATACACAATGGAATATTATGCGGCCATCAAAAAGAATGAGATCTTGCCATTTGCAACGACGTGGATGGAACTGGAGGGTGTTATGCTGAGTGAAATAAGTTAATCAGAGAAAGACATGTATCATATGACCTCACTGATATGAGGAATTCTTAATGTCAGGAAACAAACTGAGGGTTGCTGGAGAGTGGTGGGGGGTGGGAGGGATGGGGTGGCTGGGTGATAGACATTGGGGAGGGTATGTGCTATGGTGAGCGCTGTGAATTGTGCAAGACTGTTGAATCACAGATCTGTACTTCTGAAACAAATAATGCAACATATGTTAAGAAAAAAGAAAAAGAGGAAGATAGCAGGAGGGGAAGAATGAAGGGGAGTAAGTCAGAGGAGGAGACGAACCATGAGAGACGATGGACTCTGAAAAACAAACTGAGGGTTCTAGGGGGGAGGGGGGTGGGGGGATGGGTTAGCCTGGTGATGGGTATTAAAGAGGGCACATTCTGCGTGGAGCACTGGGTGTTATGCACAAAGAATGAATCATGGAACACTACATCAAGAACTAATGATGCAATGTATGGTGATTAACATAACAATAAAACCTTAAAAGAAAAAGAAAGGATGCTGTACTTTGTCAAATGCTTTTTCTGCGTCTATTGAGAGGATCATATGATTCTTGTTCTTTCTTTTCTTAATGTATTGTATCACGTTGATTGATTTGCAGAAGTTGAACCAACCTTGCAGCCCAGGGATAAATCCCACTTGGTCATGGTGAATAATCCTTTTAATGTACTGTTGGATCCTATTGGCTAGTATTTTGGTGAGAATTTTTGCATCCATGTTCATCAAGGATATTGGTCTGTAATTCTCCTTTTTGATGGGGTCTTTGTCTTGTTTGGGGATCAAGGTCATGGTGGCCTCATAAAATGAGTTTGGGAGTTTTCCTTCCATTTCTATCTTTTGGAACAGTTTCAGGAGAATAGGTATTAATTCTTCTTTAAATGTCTGATAGAATTCCCCTGGGAAGCCATCTGGCCCTGGACTTTTGTTTGTTGGGAGATTTTTGATGACTGCTTCAATTTCCTCAGTGGTTATAGGTCTGTTCAGGTTTTCTATTTCTTCCTGGTTCAATTTTGATAGTTGATACATCTCTGGGAATGCACCCATTTCTTCCTGGTTATCTAATTTGCTGGCATAGAGTTGCTCATAATATGTTCTTATAATTGTTTGTATTTCTTTGGTGTTGGTTGTGATCTCTCCTCTTTCATTCATGATTTTGTTGATTTGGGTCATTTCTCTTTTCTTTTTGATAAGTCTGGCCAGGGGTTTATCAATCTTGTTAATTCTTTCAAAGAACCAGCTCCTAGTTTCGTTGATCTGTTCTACGGTTCTTTTGGTTTCTATTTCATTTGATTTCTGCTCTGATCTTTATTATTTCTCTTCTCCTCCTGGGTTTAGGCTTTATTTGCTGTTTTTTCTCTGGCTCCTTTAGGTGTAGGGTTAGGTTGTGTATTTGAGACCTTTCTTGTTTCTTGAGAAAGGCTTGTATTGCTATATACTTTCCTCTCACAACTGCCTTTACTGTATCCCAAAGATTTTGAACAGTTGTGTTTTCATTTTCATTGGTTTCCATGAATTTTTTAAATTCTTCTTTAATTTCCTGGTTGACCCATTCGTTCTTTAGTAGGATACTCTTTAGCCTCCATGTATTTGAGTTCTTTCTTACTTTCTTCTTGTGATTGAGTTCTAGGTTCAAAGCATTATGGTCTGAAAATATGCAGGGAATAATCCCAAACTTTTGGTACCGGTTGAGACCTGATTTGTGACCTAGGATGTGATCAATTCTGGAGAATGTTCCATGGGCACTAGAGAAGAATGTGTATTCTGCTGCTTTGGGATGGAATGTTCTGAATATGTCTGTGAAGTCCATTTGGTCCAGTGTGTCATTTAAAGGCTTTATTTCCTTGTTGATTTTTTGCTTAGATGATCTGTCCATTTCAGTCAGGGGGGTGTTAAAGTCCCCCGTATTGTTGTCAATGTGTTTCTTTGCTTTTGTTATTAATTGCCTTATATAATTGGCTGCTCCCATGTTCGGGGCATAGATATTTACAATTGTTAGATCTTCTTGTTGGATAGACCCTTTAAGTAGGATATAGTGTCCTTCCTCATCTCTTATTCCAGTATTTGTTTTAAAATCTAATTTGTCTGATATAAGGATTGCCACCCCAGCTTTCTTTTGGTGTCCTTTAGCATGGTAAATGGTTTTCCACCCCCTCACTTTCAATCTGGGGGTGTCTTTGGGTCTAAAATGAGTCTCTTGCAGACAGCATATTGATGGGTCTTGTTTTTTAATCCAATCTGATAGCCTGTGTCTTTTGATTGGGGCATTGAGCCCATTTACATTCAGGGTAACTATTGAAAGACATGAATTTAGTGCCATTGTATTGCCTCTAAGGTGACTGTGACTGTATATTGTCTGTGTTCCTTTCTGGTCTATGCTGCTTTCAGGGTCTCTCTTTGCTTAGAGGACCCCTTTCAATATTTCTTGGAGGGCTGGTTTCGTGTTTGCAAATTCCTTTAGTTTTTGTTTGTCCTGGAAGCTTTTTATCTCTCCTTTTTTTTTCAGTGACAGCCTAGCTGGATATAGTATTCTTGGCTGCATATTTTTCTCATTTAGTGCTCTGAAGATATCATGCCAGTCCTTTCTGGCCTGACAGGTCTCTGTGGATAGGTCTGTTGCCAATCTAATGTTTCTACCATTGTAGGTTACATATCTCTTCTCCCGAGCTGCTTTCAGGATTTTCTCTTTGTCTCTGAGACTCGTAAGTTTTACTATTAGATGTCGGGGTGTTGACCTATTTTTACTGATTTTGAGAGGGGTTCTCTGTGCCTCCTGGATTTTGATGCCTGTTTCCTTCCCCACATTAGGGAAGTTCTCTGCTATTATTTGCTCCAATATACCTTCTGCCCCTGTCTCTCTTTCTTCTTCTTCTGGGATCCCAATTATTCTAATGTTGTTTCGTCTTATCGTATCGCTTATCTCTCGAATTCTGCCCTCGTGATCCAGTAGTTGTTTATCTCTCTTTTTCTCAGCCCCTTTATTTTCCATCATTTGGTCTTCTATATCACTGATGCTCTCTTCTGCCTCATTTATCCTAGCAGTTAGTGCCCCCATTTTTTATTGCAACTCATTAATAGCCTTTTTGATTTCGACTTGGTTAGATTTTAGTTCTTTTATTTCTCCAGAAAGGGTTTCTCTAATAACTTCCAAGCTTTTTTCAAGCCCAGCTAGTATCTTTAAAGTCATGACTCTGAACTCTAGGTCTGACATCGTACTAATAATGTCCATATTGAGTAGGTCCCTGGCTGACGGTACTATCTCTTGTTCTCTTTGCTGAGGTGATTTTTTCATCTTGTCATTTTGTCCAGAGGAGAATAGATGAATGAGAGAACAAAATGCTAACAGATTAACAACGTCCCCAGCAAATATACTCTATACAAATCAGAAAAGACCTGAAACCAGGGGAAAAGAAAGGGAAAGAAAGAAAAAAGAGAAAAAAAAAAAGAAAAAGAGAAAAACAAACAAAAACAGAACAAAACAAAAAAAAACAGAATATGATCAAATATGATCAGGCTAGTGCATAGATCAGTGCCACACACTAGATTTTGGGCGTATTTTGGTCTGTTAGAAGAAAGTGCCTCCTAAAATTTTAAAGGAAGAAAGACTTATATATGTACAAAATAAGGGTTGATACAATGAAGGGATGGAAGATGACTGTAAAGATAAAAATTATTAAGGATTTTATAAAAGGAATTGATAAGATAAGAAGTTGTTTGAAAAAAGAAAGATTTAAAAAAAAAAAGAAAAGAAAAAAAAGGGAGAGAATGTGATCAGGTAGGAGACAAGAACAAAGCCATACACTAGTGATTTAGGGTATATTTTGATCTGTTAGAAGAAAATGTATCTCAAAATTTTAAAGAGAGAACAACTTTTATATATATGCCAAAAATAAGGGTAACTACTATGAAGGGATAAAATATGACTCTCAAAATGAAAATTAAAAAATGTTTTTTTAAAAAACGATTGATAAGATGTTGGTTGAAAAAGGGAAAAAGAAAATTCAAAAAAAACAGTTAAAAAAATTAACTTTGAAAAACTAAAGAATCATGGTAAAAAAGCCATGAATTCTATGTGCAGTATTCCCCTAGCGCTGGAGTTCTCCCATTCTCCTTGATCGGTAAACTTGGTCTTGGCTTGCTGGCTGTTTGTGCTGATCTTCTGGGGGAGGGGCCTGTTGCCGTGGTTCCCAAATGTCTTTGCTGGAGGTGGAATTGCCCCGCCCTTGTCGGTCCGGGCTGAGCAAGCTGCTCCGGTTTGCTCTCGGGAGCTTTTGTTCCCTGCAAGCTCTCGGTACAGCCTTGGAGGACCAGGGTGAAAATGGTGGCCTCCCAATCTCCGCCCGGAGGAGCTGAGAACTCAGGGCCCCGCTCCTCAATGAGCCCCCAGAGAGAAGCAGTCACTCCCGTGTCCCCGGTCTCCGGCCGCACTGCGTGCTCACCCGGCCTGTGACCGAGCGTTTCTATCTCTGGCACCCGACCCCGTGTGGAGTCTCCAAACCCAGCGGATCCCTGCGGTGCGCTCCCGCGCCGCTCCTCCCGGGGGAGGAAGGGGAGTCTCCCCGGATCTGCCGCCTGTGGGGTCCCTGCTGCAGGAGCAGTGGCCCGACTGGGCCGCGGATCACAGTTTATGGCCACCCCGAGCTGAGAGCCCGCGCCTCGGCTCCGTCTCTGCAGCCGGCTTCCCCGCTCTGATCCCTGGGAGCTCTGCCGCACTCAGGCACCCCCGGTCTTTCTGTGACCCCGAGGGTCCTGAGACCACACTGTCCCGCGAGGGTTCCACCCCCCGCTTAGCCACTGGAGTGACGTCCCTCAGCGGAGCCGACTTCTAAAAGTTCCGATTTTGTGCTCCGCGGCTCTAGCACTTGCCAGAAGCGGCCGACGGAGGCCCCCTCCCCCGCCGTCTATCCTCCCGAATATCGCCTCCGATTCACTTCTCCGCACGGCCTACCTTCCAGAAAGTGGTCGCTTCTCTGTTCAGAGAGTTGTTGCCACTCTCTTCTTCGATCTCCTGTTGAGTTCGTAGGTGCTCAGAATGGTTTGATCCCTATTCAGCTGAATTCCTGAGACCAGACGAAATCCAGGTCTCCTACTCCTCCGCCATCTTGCTCCACCCGAAGGTCTTTGTTTTCAAAGGAAATACACAGTTGTAATAAATCCTTAAACAGGTTGTATTAAATTAGGATTTTAGATGTACTTTCTCTGCCAACATCAGGGCTTTGGGCTCATATATATTCTTTGCTTTTAAAACAAGGACGCTCAGAACAGCAGAGCATTCTGGAAGGGTGTGTGGGAGGGTGGCAGTGCCCCAGCATGTGCGCTGGCCGTGGAGTCTGAGGTGAGTCTGCTGGGAACATAGCCGTCTCCCCTCAGCCAGGGCCTCCCAGAAGACCCCAGCCCCACACCGGCAGCAGGCTCTGTGTTGGCTTTGTTCACTCCTCCCAGCAGCCCCCAGGCCTGCTCCACACAGAATCCAAGTGTCCGCACTTCCAACCCTGGTTCTCGGTAAAGCCCTGTCTACAGGGTGGTTGGAGGCCAGGGGCTTCCTGACAGTGACGCTCATGAGCTGTGAGGAGACATTTGCTGCCCATGTTCATCTAAACCATTCCACATGGCTGGGGGTTCATCCAGTGTGCAGACCTATAAAACTGTCCCCAAGTGTCCTAGGCATGAAGGAGGAATGACTCCCCAGAAGAGAACAGCCCTTTGCTGTTCACATGTCACACCATGACGACCTTCCTCCAGGCCTCTCAAACCACGCTTGGTCTCCAGAGCGCTGAAACACACAGTGGTGGGCAGGGCCAGCAGGTGCAGAGGCCAGGTGGCCAGGCCGGTCCTCCTGCGAGCCTGGGAGTCCCCCAGCCACGCCCACAGCTCCCTTCCACTCAGGCTTTCGGCGCCCAAGGCGGGGCTGGTGCAGATCAGAAGGGAGCCGCTAGGGAACAAGAGGGACCCAGGAGATGGTGCTGAAGCCCCAGGGCCTTCCAGCAGTGCCCCCTGACGCCCGTGGCTCTCCCAGCATGCCTGGGAGGGGCTGCGGGGTGCAGAAGAGCAGAATCACAGCATCAGCGTCTTGTGTGCAAAGACATCGGTTCTTTGGCAAAATGCACACACGCGCGCGCACACATGAACGCGCACACGCACACACAAGCACGCACACGCACACACGCGCGCTTGTGCACACACGCGCGCACACACACACATGCACACACACACAGACAGCGGCCTCGCAGCAGCTGGGGATCTGTGAGGGGCTCGACGGGCATTCCCAGGGGGCAGACGCTAGGTCAGCATCGGGTCTGAGCAAGCACACCCCTGAAGCGCGAACACAGGAAACAACAGAGATGCCAGGCCCCCAGCAGCTGCTCTTCCCTGCGTGGAAGGGCAGGGACCCGCCCTCCCCCTTCCTCTCCTCGGAGCCTGCCGCGGGGGTGGCCAGGCCCTCCTTTGCTGCCCATGAGCACTGGTGCGGTGAGTGTCTGCAGAGGGCTGTGGAACTTGGATCCCAGGTACCAATCTCTTGTCTTTACTTGCTTCTGACGACTTCTCTTTGCTTGGCCTCATTTTTCCAGACGGATTCACTGGCATTTTCTCATTATCTATCAAATCCGTGGCAAAGGGAATCTTTGAGTCCACCTGGGAAAATACAAGATGTTTCTAGGAATCCGAGGGGACACTGCCGTTCACACAAAGCGCGCGCCCGGGGGGAGCTGGGCTCGTCCTTCCTCTGTGAGGAGGCGCATCAGTGGCTGTCCTGAGGAGGCCACGCTCCACCCACTCCCGCCTTGGGCTCGGCCGGCCACTGGCTGTGGGAGGGCAGGGGGGCAGGGTGCAGAGGTGCCGGGCACGGGGATGCCAGGTGGGCCTGGAAGGTGATCCCTGCCCGAAGTTCCGTTCCTCACAACAGACAGAAAACTACGATGGGCCCCAAGTCTCTCCAGTGGACGCCACTATATTTTCGATTGCTGAGTTTCAAGCTAATGCGTAAGCACTCCTCCACAACTGACAAGTGGTGGGGGGAAGGAGGAGTCGGGTCCTTGCAGAGCCTGTGTCATAAAGTCACGGCTCTTAGATCAATGACATCACGAACCCGCACAAATAAATGTTGAAACCCAAGAGAAGTACTTCAAAGTTGACTTTTTTGTATACAGCACACTGTGATTCCAAGTGAAAACCTGCAGCATCCATGGGACCGCAGGTGGAGAGGAGTGTGAGAGATCTCGAACGTTCCCCCCGCTTTCAGGGATGAAGTCTGAGGACCAGACTGATCTCTTCCCACCTCAGGGAGCTTTAGACCTGTGTGTGTGTGTGTGTGTGTGTGTGTGTGTGCACACACACCCGTGTGCTTACACCTGTGCCTACGTGCACCTGTGTCAGTACCTGTGTGTACATGTAAATGTGTGCTCCTGTGTCAGGACTTGTCTGTGCCTGTTCCTGCATATCTCTGTGCGCACCTGTGCCCGCGCACCTGTGCCCGCGTATCTGTGTGTGCATATACCCGAGTGCACCTGTGTGTGCGCACCTGTGCCCGTGTATCTGTGTGTGCGCGCATCTGTGCCCGCGTCTCTGTGCGCGCGCACCTGTGCCCGTGTATCTCTGTGTGCATGTACCTGAATGCGCCTGTCTGCACCTGTGTGTATTTGTGCTTCTGTCTGCACGTGCCCGTCTACCTCTGTGCGTGCGCACCTGTGCCCATCTATCTCTGTGTGCATGTACCTGAATGCGCCTATGTCTGCACCTGTATTTGTGCTTCTGTCTGCACGTGTCTATCTCTGTGCGCGCGCACCTGTGCCCGTGTATCTCTGTGCGCGCACCTGTGCCCGTCTATCTCTGCGCACGCACCTGTGCCCGTCTATCTCTGCGCGCGCACCTGTGCCCGTCTATCTCTGTGTGCATGTACCTGAATGAGCCTTTGTCTGCACCTGTGTTTATTTGTGCTTCTGTCTGCATGTGTCTGTGTACCTTCCTCTGAGGAGGCATGCCCCTTAGGGTGTCAGAAAGTTGGGCAGAGGGGAAGACAGGGCACGTGCAGAGATGGGGAGGGGAAGGTGAGGCAGGTGCTGAACACCTCCCACCAGGGGCTCCTCCAGCTGGAGTCTGGTGGGATCAATGTAGCGCTTACCTAGACTGTGCCTGCAACGGTCTCCGCTGCCATGGCACCTCTAAGTGGATTACCAGGGCCTGTCTGGTCATCACATGCCTGAGACTTAGAAGACGCTTAATACCACAGGCGGGGGGAGGGGGGCAGGCAGAGGGGAGGGCGGGAGCTGGCCCACTTTTACATAATGAGGACTCTCCTAAACATTATTCCAACAGGAAGAGAAGAACACATGTAAATTTAGTAGGTGTTTTTTAAAGTCAGACATGCAACTTAATTTTTTTTTTTTAGTATAAAGGTACATTACTTGGAAAGAAGTTCCCAGCTACATTTTACTATCTGTACAAAACACAGAGGAGGAAGACTTCCCAGACACCCAGTCCTCTGCTGAGAGCAAGGACCAGGGGCAGGGTGGGAAACAAGGTGAGTGGGTGGCGCCCTGTTGTGTCCCGCGTCCTGCTGGCCACAGCCCTTCTGCGCAGGGACAGAGCCTGACGCAGCCATTTGTTGGGGAGGACACGCGGGGCTGGCCTTCACTGGTACACAGTCACCTTGCAGAGGACAGTGCAATCCACAGACGTGTGTCTCTGTGTGTCGGTGTTTGTGATCGGACTGCTGCTATCAAAGCACAAATTACCAAAAGCTCAAAGAAATTCGCATTTTTAACTTAAAGAGCTACTTCCCCATGCTGTAGCAACCGCTGTCCCCACAGTCTGTCCCACGCGGCCCTGCTGAGTGGCTGGTTGATGGCGTCACCCCCACAGCTCCCAAGCAGGCTGAGCCTCCATCCTGCTGACCGCTGTCAGCTTTCCCCTTCTGGGGACTGCCCCTTGCCCACTTTTCTATTGGATTCTTTAATTTAAAAAAGTCTATTTGTAGTCATTCATCATAGATAGTAACCTTATGTCTCAAAACATGTTACAGATAGGTTCCTGTATCTTTTGACTTTATGGTATTTTAGTCCATCTAGAAATTTCAGTTTTAGGAAGTTAAAATTTTTTATTTTTTGTTTCAGAGCTTCTGTATTTCCTATTTGATTTATGAAATTTTGTGTCATTCCAGGTTATACAAATACTCTGAAGTTTTCATGCTATAAAATACAACGGTGATTGTGTACAGTACCTCCATGTAGTTTACAAATTATACATCACAGGATACCCTTCTTCTTGCAGAGTATCAAGGAAGTCCTATTTCCAACTAGAACTAACCACATGCAAGAAGTTAGCTCCAGCGATCCCACCTCTGGGCACACACCCCCAAGGACTGAACGCAGGGACTGGAACAAATGTTTGCACCCCGTGTTCCCAGCAGCATTGTTCACAGCTGGAAGGGGCCCGAGCGTCCACATGGATGAAGGGAGGAAGGGAGGAGGGTCTCAGCCCTGCGAGGAGCAGCCCCGAGGGCCTGATGCCGAGTGAAAGAAGCCAGACACGGAAGGACCAGCACCGCGTGCCCCACCTTCGTGAGGTCCCCGGGGCCGGCACCGTCAGAGACGGAGACGAGACGGTGGGCGCCAGGGCGGGGGAGGGGATGGGGACCGAGCTTCCGTCTGGGAGGATGAGAGTCGCGGGGCTGGAGGGTGGGGCTGGCTGCACAACACGGTGAATGTGCTGGACGCCGCTGAGCTGGGTGCTTGGTGGGGGAGGGCTCACGTGCGTGGTGTGTATTTTACCAGAATCTTACAAACAGGAACATACTGCAGCACACCAGCCGACAGCCTCCACAATTACAAGGGCGCCTTACTACAACTCTGAGAACAGGGCCAAGGCCCGCCACCCGCCGGGCCATGGTCTCTCGACCTGGTCTCAACGACCCCCTCTGCGTAATGGGAGGGGGTCCCGGCAGCCAGCAGAGGAGAGGTGCACCCAGGACCTTGGCGTGGACGGGCAAGGAGCTGTGCTGTGGGGCTGTGTGCACTGGGCACCTGACTCTCAATGGTGCACCCCCCATCGAGGGCCCCTTGCTGGGTCCGTCCCATTCAGCACCCAGGGCAGGCGGAAGGGGAATCGGGCTGATGGGCAGCAGGCAAGACCTGGCACAGGCGACCGTGAATCCTGTGTGTCTGGCCTGAGAAGCCAGAGGCTGGCTGAGGAGGGAGCCTGGCGGTGGATGATGGCACCAGGACATTCCTGGCCAGCAGGGGGTTGGAAGCCCAGGAGCCTGTGCACATCTAGGCGCCAGGGAACCTTCCAGAGCTGCTGCGTGTGCTCCGAGGACTCACGGAAGAGTGGAGGCCCGGCAGGCAAGGGCAGAGCAGCTGCAAAGGCCCTGTGGCAGAGAAGAGGGTCTAGGCAAGACGACAAGTAGAATCCAGGAGGCCCTGGAGGGCAGGCGGGGGCAGGCTGGCAGCCATGAGCTGAGCGGCCTGACGGGGAGGGCTGGGACTGGAGACCTGGACGGCGGTGGGGGGGCGTCGAGAGGGGGAGGTCGGTAGAGACCATGAGGCCTGGCTGCCAGGGACAGGGCCAGTCTTGGGGACGCCTGACCCAAGGAGGACAGGAACAGCTTCTCGCTAGGCCTGACAATGCGGTGGTCAGGGGAGACCCCGGGACAGAGGGCTGGTGGGGGCAAAGAGCACATGTCCCTCCAGGAGCTGCGGGCACCAGCGACACTCACTGCAGAATGCTGCCCAGCCTGAACCCCGGGCTCGGGTTTCGGGGGGAGGCTCGTGGAGGGAAGGGCCCTGGGCGGGGCTGGGAAGGCACAGCTGGGCCTGTGCAGAGGGGCCTGGGTCTGGGTGACAGTGGGGCGCAGGCACGGGGCCAGGAGCGGAACCAGCGGTCTCAGGGCCAGGGGAGGGCAGGGGAAGAGCAAAGCCTGGCCTGGCAGCACGCGGGAGCGCTGGGCAGGGACTGGCTGGCGGGCTGAAAGTACTTATTTCCTACTTGCTCTTTGCGGCAGTCCTGTATCGTGGCCATGCTGAGTCCTGATCCCTGAAGGACATGTATTAAGTGCATGCAGGTGAAATGACAGGACGCGTGGGTTTGCTCTAACTCGCTCAGCTGTGGGGGGCACGGGGGGAGGGTCCGCGGGGGACACCCAGCCTTTGCACCGCCCTCCTCCATCTCGCATGCTTGGAAATTCCCGCAAACGCTTTCAAGTGTGTTGTAGCCCCAGCAAGGTGAGAGCCTCCCGTGCGGGCGGGGACACAGCGGGGAAGCGGCCCCGCGGGCAGGTGCCTGTCAGCACCGACACAAGCGCACCCTGTGCAGGAGTCAGTGGCTGGGGGCTTGCTCCTGGCTCGGCTCCCACAGCTCACGGAACCCTCACCTCCTCACCCACCTTGGGCTGGCCGCCCGCACGTGCGGCAACGCTCCACTCAGGAGCCCACAGCCGAACTCCATCCTGGCACCAGGAGTGGAGGGTGGCGCAGGCCCCCCAGGCAGAGGGCTCGGTCCCTCAGGGCCAGGCTGCCCCCTACGCTGCTGGCTGACCGGCAACCAAGCAGGGCTCCCACCACCCCGTGGGGTCGATGACTCGCCAGAGTGGCTCACGGAACTCAGAGACACAGCTGCTCACACGCACTGACTCAACACGGAGGCTGTGACTCAGGAACAGCTTCCGGAAGAGCCGCACAGGACAAGGTGCTGGGCAGGCTGCAGAGCCACACACCCTCTCTGGTGACCAGCCACGTGGCCAGGCTACCTAGGGCCCACCCTGCATCCCTAGTCCGCATAAACTCAGCTGTGCTCCCCGGGGCTCACTGTGAATAACAAGACACGCCACCACCCCAGGTCCCACGGGGTTTTACAGCCGTGTGGGGACAAGGGACAAACGTATTTCTCATTAGGCCATGGCATGCTCTCATAGACCAGCGTGAGTCTCGTTGGCTCTCTCAACCTGGGCTGTTTTAACTCGTAAGGATTTCTTCTAGACACTGGAGCCAGTAGGTAGCACGCCAACTCATCTCCCCGTGGCCAGAGGGGTAACCTGAAATTGGGATACAGTCTACTTAGAGCCACCCCATCTCCTGGCATTTAAATTGTTTCCAGTTTTTTGCTATAATAAAGCTCTGAAGGCATTCTTAAGAATGTCTACCTGTGCAAGTTTTGTTCCTAAAGTGGCGAAACACGGACTTTGAATGTTTACATGACAGAGGGGACACAGGACGCACACCATGAAGACACGGGGCACAGAACACGTGGCCCACGACACAGGGGGCAGAGGACAGCCCACCCCCAGCGAGGGGTCAAGGTAGGGCGGGGAGTACGGTCTCCTCCCAAGCCACTGTGGCTTTGCTGCTGCTCTAACAGTTTGCAGAGAACACAAGGGGTTTGGGTCCAGAACGTGTGTGAGAGAACCAACTGCTCTCCTGTCTCCTTCGTAAGAAGCTCAGGCGAGGGAATGAGCCAACGGATTCCATGGGAAAGGCACAGTCCCTGCCCCGCCTGGCACTCTGAGGACCTGGGGTCCCAACCACACTGGCTTCCAAAATGTGTGTGTCCTCCCATAATTCTGCACATGGATAAAAAGGCTCCACTGTCTTTTTTTTTTTTTTTAGGGTAACAAACCATTGCTTTGTTTAAATGGACAAAGGCAACATGAGCACCGTGAGGTGGCCAGATCATTCCATTCCTGACAGGAAGGTGCCAGTGGGTCCCCCTGCTGCAGACCAGAGCCCGCCTGGCGGACGGCAGGCACAGGTGTGCGGGAACGCCTCTGCAGGCCTCCCAGGGTCCCCCAGGAATGGCCCGGCCACCAAGGGGGAGCAGCATCGCAAACAGGGACCAAGGTGGATGGGCGCCATAACCCGGGTACGCCGCGCAGGAAGAAAGCACATCCCTTCCGTGGTTTCTCACCCCAGACGCGAAAGCTCAGCCCAGTCCTAGAAGCCACCCGACAACGTAACTGATCTGCACACTTGGAAGCGCACGGCGGGCGGACACAGGACCAGGGGAGGCTGTCCTGGACGGCCCGGCGAATCCGGCCACCCTCCCGTGAACAGCAGGCCTGTGCTGGGGGGGAACGGGGGGGTCGTGGACAAAGTGACTCCTCCGTGTGCCACAGTGGCCTCCTCACAGAGGGCAGCAGCACAGACGCAGGGTGGCGGGACGGTGCTGGTGTGAGCAGGCGCCGTCCCCTCCAGGACAGGCTCACAGGGGAGGGGAGCTGGCGTGCTCAGCAGGCAGGCCACCCTGGACGCCGGGGTTCAGACCCGTGGGGGGGCTGGGGAGACACAGGGGAGACGCGTGGCACTCAGGGTGGAGTGTGCCCCACACGACCTGGGAGCTGGCATGCAGGAACAGAGGGGATGGCCACGCAGCCCGCCGCCCTGGCCCCCAGGCTGAGACCATGGCCCAGGAGACCCAGAGAGACACCGTGGCACGCCTCAGCCTCGGGGTGGGGGCGCTTGTTTCCCCCCGGCCCTGCTGGCCAGAGACCCGACTCCTCGCACGGGAAGGACGCAGGCCCATCAGAGGGCCCGCAGAAGGTGGCTGGGCTGCTTGCTGTCTGGCCTCGGGCTTCGTCGGCTCAGTGGGGACCGCAGTGCCCCCAGCACTGGACAGTACCCCTCCCACTGGCCCCCTCGTACCAGACTCCACCGCGGAGGCAGGGGCTTGCTTGGCGCCTCCTCCGCCATCCTCCTGGTCCGGGTTCGCTCCCTCCACTCCCGCAGCGCTCGTTCATCTCTGGGCGGGGGGACATGCAGCTCATTAGCGCCCCAAGCAGAGCCCCTTCCCAAGCCCCTTCCCGGCCCTCCCCACAGGCAGACGGGCACTGCTTGTCTGCTCCTGTCCCGCGGCTTCGTGCCAGGGGACCAGCAGGGGCACCAGGACCCTGCCCCAGAGAAGATGGCCGGGCTCTGGCTGTCGGTTCGGGCGTCAGAGGCCTTCAGAGGTCCCCAGGAGACGTGAGGGCATCCTTGACAAGTCAATGTCCTCTTAGCTGCTTGAGTTTCACTTTTAACAGTGAGCCTCCTCTGTCCCCCAAATCCCCTCCGCCGGGGCACCGCCATGCTCCCGGCACGGCCTGCCCTGCACCACGGTGACCTCCCCGCCCCTGCACCACGGTGACCTCCTTGCAACAGTATCCACTAGACTCACTGCCCGCAGCACAAGGTGAGGCTGCAACACCAGATGCTTGCGGAATTTCTGAACATAAAAACCCACCCCTGGCTCAGCTGTGGTTGCAGCTCTGGGGATGGGACGGGGTCCCAGCAAATCCTCACTGGCCCTGGGCTTCACCCTTGGCACACTCCGGAGTCCCCAGCCTTGCTCCCCTGCGAGGCTGCTCCTGTGCCCTCCCCCGAGGCTGCTGCGCCCCTACCCCCAGCTGAGCCGGGCTCTCTGCTCCCCACCACTCAACACTCCAAATCCAGTGGTGACTCTGCACGACCTCACCCCTCGCTGCGCCTCCGGACACAGGGCTCCATCTGAGCGTGAAATGGGATGGAAAGGACCCACCCTTTGACAGGCACAGGGGTGACATTCTGAGCTGGCTTGACGGGGGTCCACAGGCTGTGCTGAGTCCAAGCCACAGGACAGGACTCTGCACACGGTCACCAAGGAGGCCAAGGAACGTCATCTCGGCAGAGAAACCGAGAAGAGAGCGTTCTCCTGGCCTTGACATTCAAGAGCTTCCTCCCACGGAGGGGTGCGGCATCCTGGCCGCCCCCGAGCCGGCCATGCTGTGTCGGGGAGGCAGACTTCCTGCCCCTACATCCCGCTGTGGCCAGAGCTTCCCCAAGCACCAGCGCCCTGCGCACCCTCCGTGCACCGTCCCGATCGCGAGCTGGGCCGGGGGCGGGCACTGAGCAGGACTCACGCTGACACAGGGCAGAGATGCTTACCTACGGGGTCCACACGGGCCGGTGCTGGGGCGGCCAGTCAGGAAACGCCATCAAGAAAGGGGCCAAGGAGAGAGAGGAGGGGGACCCGCCTGCAGCAAAGGAAAGGGCGCATCACAGTGAGAGGCGAGCCCAGGCGCGCCCCCCGGGCAGCGTCAGGCCCGGCTTTGCCCCAGAAGGGTTCCATCACTAGCTCGGACGCTGATGTGCCCTGCGAAGCCACGGGACCTCCCGCCCTGGAGCCTGCACTCCAGCCAAGGGCCTCTTTGGGGGTCCTCGGGGGGGTGGCCTGAGCTCAGGCTGCCTGGCGCCTGTGGCCCTGACCAGCGAGACCCTGCCGGGATGGCCAGGACTCCAGGTGCAGCCCAGAGCACACCCCCAAGTGTCAGCCACACGTGGGATGCATCCCTGCGGATGACAGCCCAGGGCTGGGAACACTGTGAGCCCTGACAGTTCTGAGGGCCTGAGCTCTCCCTCCTTTCACAGAAGGGACCGGACCCCACTGCACAGCATGTCTGGTTTGGGGACGGGGAGCAGGTGCACTGCTGACACGTTGCGTTTGCCAGCAAGTCTGTCCCCATCAGGGTCCTGAGAGAAAATACACTCACACGGGATGATTTCAGGATGGAGGAGGGTTTATTCACATGGGCAGCGGCGGACAGCCCCCAGGGACAGAGCAGGAGCCCAGTGCTGGGGCAGGGGCTGCAGCCGCCCCAAGCCCCAGGAGGAGGGACCCAGGCTGACTCACAGGGCGGCATGGGGGGGATAAAGACTCTGCCCTCCCTCTCCCCCTCCTCTCCAGCCTCCTGCTGGGCCCCCCACTGGCCAGACCCAGTCAGAAGGAGAGGGGCACTGGGGTGCTGTGGGTGCGGTCCATGCTGGACGGCCTCCCGGGGCCCAGGGCACAGTGGAGACGGGTAGTCGGCGGAGCTGGGGGACAGGCCCCAGCCAGGCTCCTGGGGGGCAGAGCAACGCCGCCGCATCCAGCAACACGGCCGAGGCGGGGCGAGAGCGAACCGTCTCTGTGCGTACATCTGTAGCCCGTACCTTTCCGTAGAAAAGACTTGCGAGCCAGGTGATTAGAAGGAGGGGAAGGGAGGGTTAAGGAAGAGTAAGAAATCAGAGAAAAAGAGGAAAGAAGGCAGGCGGGGTGGAGAGGACATGGAGCAATGACGGCCCAAGGCCTGTGCCCGCACCTGCCCGAGCCCAACAGACAAGGAGCAAAACCAACCCTTCCCCAGAAAAGTCACAGCCAGCAGGCCTGGCCCCAGATGCCCGTGCAAGCAGGGGCACCCGGTAAGGCCTTGACGCAGCCCTGCCGATGGCACTCACCCTCTCTGCTGCTCCAGCACCACCTGCTTCTCCCAGTGCTCCCAGATGGCCACAGCCCTGCTCTCCTGGGTCCTCCCGGCGGGGAGCCCCACGAGCTGCGATGGTACCAGGGCAGGCAGGATGCTCCTGATGGAGGGCATCTTCCTTCTACAATCACAGCCCCTGTGATGCACACTCACCCTCAGATGGCCCACGCGAGAACACAACATGCAACGTGTACAAGCAGGGCCAATGGGGACAGACGGCACGACAGGAGTGGCCTCCCAGGGCCCCACAGCCCGGGGCTCCTGCTCCAAAGGCTGCAGGCTGGCTCCAAGTCCGAGACAACAGTGGCCTCACAGGGAGCTCGGGACAGGCCGGCGGGCACACAGCAGGACAAGCCCCCGTCCCTGTTCAGGAGGAGTCCCAACTGAGGGACGGCAGGGAGGGAGGGGTTTCTGCATGGCAGGCGTGGAACAGGCCGGGCGGAGAATGTCAATGCCGTGTCACAGCCAGGCACCTGTCTTCTGTGCCTCCGCTGCTTCCAAGGTTATCAGCCACTAGTCAGACTTCACAGAATTTCCAAGCCTTGGAACCGGTGAAAGAACAGTATGATAAACCCCTGAACACCTTTCCCACGGTAAATGCAAGGTTTCCATCTGCTTCTCAGTACGGCCCGGCCCCTGGCCTCTCAGATTCACTCCTCCAAACAGCCCCTCCACGAAGCTGGACCCCCACCGGTGCACTGGACACGTGTCCCTGCCATCCACGGAGCTGAGCTGTGTGGCGCCGGGAACCAGAGTAACCACGAGGCTTCTGTGCACCCCCAGGGGCCAATTCCTGTCCCCCTGGAATGGCTTCACCCCCTGTGAACGTACGATCTGTATTCACCAGTAAGTATTCTCTTTGCACTGATGTCCACAGACACATGCGTGCACACACACACGCACACAGAGGGCTTGTTTTTCTCTTGCGTAATCTCCCCCCGAGGGGTCCATGCTCTGGGCAACCACAATCCTAAGCCAGGCTTAGCGCGCACTGCCCCATTAAAGCTATAGCCAGGCACAGCCTCATGTCTGAGAAGATAATTGCAAAATAATATTACGACTTTGGAAAGATCAAGGAAATACAGCATGGCTTCTAAATCTCACCTGAGCACATGTCTTGGGCTGGAATGTTCTTTCTCCTTCATGTTTAACGCTGCCCTGAGATTTGGAGGCAATTCCATCGCTAAGAGCTAGTTTTCAAGCACTTCTGCGTGTTCATGCTCAATGATCTCCTGCCTCAGCTTCCAGAAGCACTTGATTTCTTCCTCAGCCGGCCAGTCTTCTGAGGAATCCGTGGACTTTCTCAGTTCACTCAGGTCTAGCTTCTCAACAGGCTGGAAAAAGATTGCCTTTTCTTTTAACAACCCCTTTTGATCCTGGGAGTTAATGGCATCTTCATCAGGCAGTTTCTTCCTCAGATAAATACAAGGGCTGTGGCAGCTCACTTAGATTCATCATTGTAACTGGTGAAATCACTAGTAGGATAAACTGTTGTTATAGTAGACTGGATTCCACACCAGCTCTCCAGAATCAAACCCCTTGACTAGCTCCCCCTGCAGAGAAGGCCTGGGGGGAAACAGGTTCTCTCTGCAGAGAAGGCCTGGGGGGCGGGCAGGCTCCCTCTGCAGAGAAGACCTGGGGGGGAGGGCAGGCTCTCTCTGTAGAGAAGGCCTGGTGGGGGGACAATCTCCCACTGCAGAGAAGGCCTGGTGGGGGGACAATCTCCCACTGCAGAGAAGGCCTGGGTGGGGGCAGGCTCCTTCTGCAGAGAAGGTTGGGCATGTGGATAGGCTCCCTCTGCAGAGAAGGCCTGGTGGCAGGATAGGCCTCTGTACAGAAAAGGCCTGGTCGGGGAACAGGCTCCCTACAGGCTCCCTCTGCAGAGAAGGCCTGGGGGGCGGGGCGGGACAGGCTCCCTCTGCAGAGAAGGCCTGGGCATGGGGGGGGCGGGGGGGGTGCTATAGGCCTCTCTGCAGAGAAGGTCTGGTGGGGGGAGGGCAGGCTCTCTCTGTAGAGAGGGCCTGGGGAGGGGGGCGGGCATAGGCTCTCTCTACAGAGAAGGTTGGGGGTGTGGATAGGCTCCCTCTGCAGAGAAGGTCTGGTGGGGGGCAGGTTCCCTCTGCAGAGAAGGCCTGGGTGGGGGCAGGCTCCCTCTGCAGAGAAGGCCTGGGGGGCGCCGTCCCCCTCTTCAGAGATAGCCTGGAGGGGGCAGGGACAGGCTCCCTCTGTCCCAAGGCCCTCACACTCCATATAAATCTATGCAAATAAACTTTTGTTTCCCCCCACCCTAGATCTTTTAATATCTTTATTTCTAATCAAGTTTTGGCCCATATGCCTCCTGTTTTTCTTTGGCAATACTTTTGATGACTTTAAACACTTGTATCTCTAGGTAAATTACCCGAAAGAAAATTGGCCAGGAATAGTCTTGCCTTTAGGACTAGGCTCAAATGTCCCCTCATCAACAGACTAGCTCTGGATGAGTAACCCCCACCTCCTGCAGCACCACCCCCACCCCCAGGACAGAATTAGGTCACAGGTCATGCTGACATAGACTCCTTCTTGGCTTTGGGTTTCTGAGTGATGGCACTGGATTCTGAACCATAATTAAGAGATGAAGCTAGTATACTCTTTGGGAAACATGGAGATTCATGATTCACAGTAACAGGTAGGCAGTAGACAGAACGGATGCGTGACTGACCGCTAGTGCCGTCACATGCCCTTGGCCTTCACCATTTCAGAGCCTGCTGGCCTCAATTCCTGCCCCCAGTTGCATGTGTGTGCCTGGGCATTTCCTCTGGCATGTGAAGGCAGCCTGCAGGGCTGGAGAGCTGTGTGCCCACCCCCGGGGAAAAGCCCTCGACTCAACCAAGCGCTGCTGCCGCGTCACGCACGCCCTACCCCCTCGCTGTGCTGGGAGTAACTCTGGGGCCTGAGTTCAGCAGTGGCCCTTGACAAATGTCACCTTGTAAATCCTGGTCCTGACCCGGTCAATGCGGGTGGCACCTGAGAGGCGAAGCGTGACCGCTGGAGGCCCAGTGGTGCTTCACCTGCTTCACCCAGCACCCAGCAGGACCAAGCGCTGGCGTCCAGGGCGTACCCGCCCCACCTCTCCCCTGCGCTGGCTTCCTCCTTTCCCCATCCCCCCTGCTCAGCCCCAGCGCTGCCGCCTGGGATCTCATTCCCCATCACTTACTGGCCCTTGACTCCTGAATCGGGAGCTGCTTCTGGGGGGCACAGACTAAGACACTTGCGAATACAATCGGTGTTTCAAACTGGGCGTTCTGGGGCCGTTTATTTGGATTTGGGAGAAAGATGATTTAAGCACAGCAGCACATTCTAATCACTTTGGAGGCCCCTTACGTTTACTGAGGTAGACTTAACTATTTACACGCTTCGATTAGACCACGTATATAACTATCGTGGCTGTTTCCAACACAGGTATTTTATTAATTCCAGAAGTTATATTTTAAGTAGTAAAAATTTAGATATTCTGAAGTAAATTTTTGGAATACTTACTTTTTTGTGAGCATTCAATTACAATTCTCTTTTATCTCCACTTTGTCTAAGTGTGACTAGGTGCTCACTCAGGAGCATGTGGGAATGCCTGGCTGGATGGTCCGTGTGTTGAAAACATGGGATCAAGTGTTTAGTGAGCACCCACCAGAACAGGAATAAGTAGTGGTCTGAAGGACCAGGTCATTCCTGAAACAGGTGCCTGATGGCGGCTTGGGGGTGAGAACGGTTTCATTTGATTTATCCCAGTGAATTTTTACCAAAATCCACACTAGACAGGCTCTATGCTGGGCACTGAGAATGCAAACCAATGGGCACAGAACCAGGAAAGGGCAGAGAGCTCTGACGGGTGGACAAAGACACCTGGACACGGTGTGAGTCCAGCAGAGGACGTGCGAGGCCTTGTGACGTCACTAAGGAGGAGACAGCCTCCCCGGTCCTGGCTGTAAAAATCACTAACTTCAGTTTTAATGCAGTTTGTTGTAGTAATTGTCCCACAAACCTCAAGAAGTTAAATCTTGGGGGGCAGAGTGCTGGGCAGCTTAGATCTGCAGGAAGGCCAGGAGAGAGCCCAGTCCCTTCTGCACCACGAGCGGAGCAGGGAGCTCCAGAGGGCAGTGTCTCGGTTCAGCGCTTTCAGTGAGGTCACATTCCCTGCGCGAGAGAGGAAAAACCCAGAACTACACACACTGTTCCGTGGAATCAAATGAATCAAACAAAGAGAGAATACTGTTTGCGCATTAAAGAAAAAAAAAAGACCTTTTTGAGAATTTTGGGTAAATGATAGGACAGATGTCTGAAATTTGCTTTGAAAAAGGTCTGCAGGGAAGGCAGATTGCACAGATTAAGACCAGGCTAGTTACAAAAGTAAATAAATAATATAAAACGAATAGAAGCAGCAATAACAGCCCTCTGGCAAAAATCTGAGGATTTTTTTAAAAAATTTAAAAATAAAAGAATACAAAGTTGCTATATTATCTAACACGCTTCTTGACAATGACAAAAAACAAAACAAAACAAAAAAAACCCTAAAAGGCATGTAAAGAAAAGGAACCTGTGACCCATACTCAGGAAATAAGCAGTCACTAGAATCTATCCTTGAGTTGGCTCAGATATCAGAGTAAGCAGACAACTTCAAAGCAGTCACAAATATGTTCAAAGGAATGCAGAAAACCATGTTTAAATAATTAAAGACAAACACGGTAAAATGACTCCACAAGTATAGAATGTCAACAAAAACAGAAATTATAAGAAGGAAGATAGCAGTTGTAGAGTTGAAGTTACAAAGTCCGGGATGAAAGATGCACCAGAGGGGCCCAACAGCAGATACGTACGAGACGGCAGAAGAGACAAGTGACGGTCTGCTGGCCGGAGCGAAGGACGATGGAATCAGGAGTCTGCGGAGGCCTGTGGGGCAGCAGCACGTATGCTGGCCCCAGAGAACCGGGGGGCGCGCAGAGCGCTACGTGAGGACACCGTGCAAACATGCCCGGCTTGGCGGCAGGCGGCAGTGTAACTTCCAGGACATTCACAACCAAGTAAGATAAGCCAAAGGCAATCACACTTAGAAACATCAAAACCACGGAAAGACAAAGAAAAGGATCTTGAAAACAGCACAAGAGAAACAAGGGGATGACACACAAGGGGGCAGCGAGAGCCACTTCCAGTCAAAACCAGTGGAGGCCGGAGGACGGGGAGCAGCCTGTTCAGAGGGCCAAAAAGTCCTGTGGGTCAAGTGCCCTGATCTACCCAAACTGTCCTGCAGAGATACAGGGGAAATGCAGATATTCCCGTCTGTTGCAGGAAGAGTGCTTCACCTGGACTGCACTGCAGCAATTACTAAAATGAATTCGTAACTGAAAACCTTCCCCACCACACACGCAACCTCAGGACCAGCTGACAACCACTGCACTAAAGGAATGAGTTTAATGGTCAGAGACAGAATCTGTGAATTCCAAGACAAGTTAACAGGAAGTGATGCAAACTGGAACAAAGAGAAAAGTGCATGGGAAAGAATAGCTTATTTGAGGCACATGGGACAGAATCAAAATCCCAACATCATGTGACTGGAGGCCCAGGAGGAGAGGAGAACAAGAAAGAAGCCAGACCTACAAGAAATAACATCGACAGCCAGGGATTTTCCAAATCTGACTAAAGACATCAATAAACAGATTCCAGAAGCTCACGAAGCCCCCAAAAAAGTAAATACAAAGAAAGCCACACCCAGGCACATCACAGGTGAACTGCTGAAAATTAAACATGAAGAGAGGAATTTTCAGCAGCCAGACAAAAGAGATACATCCCTTTTAAAAGAAAAGCAGTGGGACTGACAGCTGACTTTTCAACAGAGGTTAGAAGCCAGAAGACAATAAAGACATTTTTTTAAAAAGATTTTATTTATTTATCTGACAGAAAGAGACACAGCAAGAGAGGAAACACAAGCAGGGGGAGTGGGAGAGGGAGAGGCAGGCTTCCCGCGGAGCAGGGAGCCCGACGCGGGGCTCGATCCCAGGACCCCGGGACCATGACCTGAGCCGAAGGCAGACACCCAACGACTGAGCCACCCGGGTGCCGTAACAAAGACATTTTTAAATGAAATCTGAGTTCCTATACTCAGCCAAATATTCTTCAAAAATGATGGAACAGTAAATATGCTTTTTTAGAAAATCAAACTTGGGAATAATTCATTACCAAAAAACTAAATGACAACACAAAGAGAGATCTTCAAGCCAAGATGGTCATCCCAGATGGAAGCAGGGAACTTTAAAAAATGAAGGGTAAAGATGTAAGAAAATATAAATAAATACTGACAAAATAAATAAATGTATCTGCTGGATTTATAGCAAGACATAAAAGCAAAATCTATGAAAACAATAGCACAGAGGTAGGGAGGAGGCAATGGGAAGAGCACTCACTTCTGCAGAGAGTCATCGGTCAAGGACATGTACGGGGTGTCTAGAGAACCACTAAGTAACGCTACACGTGGTACAGTGAGGGGATTCTGCTAGTTTGCAGAAACTGGGCAAGACAGAAATGAAAAGCAGGCAGAAACTAGAGGGGAACAACAGCTTCAAGAAGAGAAAGACACAAAGCGCATAGTATCTGTATGGCTTTCTGCGCCGCACAGGGCAGCTGTAACAGACAGAAACCACACGGTTGTAGTGACTTGCAGCGCCAGAGGACAGCCTATAGAGCTACCAGAGCAGCTAAAAAGTGAAGGGGTGGACTCCAGAAAGAAGAGGGCTGCAGAGCGGAGCCTTCTGTCTCCGTGCACATGTTCTGTGTGCAAATCCGTGGCACAGTCCTGAACTTCCCACGCATTGGACAGGCTGTGAGCAGCATGGCCATAGCTACTGCCCACCGCCAGAGTTCCGAGTCTATCTCAGTCCTTTCAACTTAACTACCTATTTTTAAAAAACCAATACTCTAAAGAGGACTGTAACAGAATCCAGAATCTCTACAATGTATCTATCACAATGTCCTAGATATAATCCAAAAAATTATTAAAGGAAAAATATGTTTATATCAAATGGAAAAATAACTCTCAGTAGAAAAATAGGAACTATTAAAATATGAAAATTCTAAAACTGAAAACACAGTATCTGAAAAAAAAATTACTAGGCAATGTTCACAGCCAATCGGAGATGATAGGAAAGACTCATAAACTTGAAGATGTTTATCTATCTTCTCTGAAGAGCAGAAAAATGACCTTTAAGATGTACAGAAGGTCAGTGATCTGTGGGACAATAACAAAAGTTCCAACAAATAGGTAAAAAAAGAAAAGAGGAGCAGAAAAATATTTGAAGGCTTAATGACCAAAATATGTCCCAAATTTGGCAAGAGATGTGAATTTAAAAATTGAATAAATTCAACAAACTCCAAGGAGGATAAATACAAAGAAAACCACAGCTAGGTACCTCATAGTCAAACTGTTGAAAAGCAAAGGTACAGAGAAATCTTGAAAGTAACCAGAGCCAATCAACATAGTTCATAAAGAAGAACAAAGAATGAATGATCTCTGACACCTGGGGTCAGTGGAACTTCTTTAAAGTCCTAGATGAAAAAAATCCAACCCATATTTCTAGATCAGCAATATCCCTTAAGAATTAAGGCAAAATAGGGGCGCCTGGGTGGCTCAGTCGGTCGGGCATCCGACTCCTGGTTTCAGCTCAGATCATGACCTTGGGCTCCCTGCTCAGTAGAGAGTCTGCTTGTCTCCCTCTCCTCTGCACCCCCCCCCGTTTGTGCAAATGCACATGCATGCTTTCTCTCTGTCCCTTATTAAGTAAATAAATCTTTAAAAAAATAAAAACAAAAATTAAAAAGGCAGAGATTGTCTGACCAGATAAAAAGTGAACCCAAATAGATCCTACAATACTAGCAATATATTGTAAATACAGACAGGTTGGAAGTAAAAGAATGAAAAACATATACCATGCAAAGAGTAAGCAGAAGAAGGCTGGAGTGGCCACACTAATACATAATGAATGGCCAATAAGCATGTGACAGAGTTCTATCACTGGCCATCAGAGAAACGCACATGAAAACCACAATGCAGTACCGCTACACACACCAGAGTAACAAAAATAACAATATAAAAATCCCAAATTTCTATTCAACCAATAACACAAGATCCAAATACATAAAGCAAAAGCTGACAGATCTAAAATGAAAGGCAGACAAATGCACATAGTTCAAGACTTTAACACAGTCCTTCAGGCACTGACAAAATAAACAGACAAAAAAGGATGTAGATGATCTGAACGTGCTATGATTAAGGAACTTGACCTATTAACTCAATGCACAGAACATCACATCAAGTAACAACTTGGGTATACACAAGCTTCTCTAGTGCACCAGGTGATGTTTACCAGACAGAATGTATCCTGGGCCAGAGAGCACACCTGAACAAGCTTCAAATAACCAAAATTACACAGTACATGTGGCATTAAATTAGAATTCAACAGAAGGAAGAGAACTAGAAAATCTCCCATTGTGTGTAAGTGAAGCAAAACACAAAGAGCCCATGGGTCACAGTACATTTGAGAATATTTTGAGCTGAGTGACAATAAAGATGCTGCATGTTGAGGTTTGTGGGCACAGCCAAGGCAGCACTAGGGGGAAATCATAGTTGGGACTGCATAGTTTAGGAAAGAAAGGTTTAAAATCAGTGATCTAAGGGGGCGCCTGGGTGGCTCAGTCAGTTAAGCGTCTGCCTTCGGCTCAGGTCATGATCCCAGGGTCCTGGGATGGAGCCCCGCATCGGGCTCCCTGCTCAGCGGGGAGTCTGCTTCTCCCTCTCCCTCTGTCTCTACCCCTGCTTCTGCTCCCTCTCTCTCTCTCAAATAAATAAAGGCTTTTTTAAAAAAAAATCAGTGATCTAAGCCTCCAACTCAATTGGTTAGAAAAAGAACAGCAAATCAAACCTAAAAAAACAAAGATAGTAAAGAGCAGAAATCTGTGAGACAAACAGATGCAGAACAGAGAACATCGTCTTCTGTTTCCTCCTCCTCATTATTTAGAGCAGGGAAAATGAATAAAAATGAAGGCACTACACTTATACACATCCCCATGGATAAACCCCAACAGCACGGTGCTGAGCCAAAACTGCATATCACCAGGAATTCATACTGGTTATGATTCAACTTACGAAAAGTTCAAAAGGAGGGCCCTTTAAACATGCACTGCTAGGGAGCCGTCAGCGGCCAAGCTCTCCAGGAAAGCAGGGGGAGGGTGAGCCCGGACCCTCAGGCTCCCAGGGAGGGAGGGACAAAGGAGAGATCATGACCAGAGCAGCACTGAGGCCTACTTTCCGGAAGCTGTGCACTGGCTCCAAAGCCCTTCATTTTTATTATTTCTTACCCTATGTTTATGTGCCACTCCTTCTATGTAGAATATCCATTACAACATTAACGGCTCTTGAGAGGTGTGCTATCTGAGAGCCCGGGAAGGAGGAAGTAGAAGGGATGATTTAAGTACAAGCCAGCTCGCCCCCTATGACTTGCCTTATGTTCCCATTTACAGGTTCCATGAACTTAAAAAGGCAGCATTTTAAAACCAGCTTTTATTTTATTGTTTGAACACTTACCCAGCTCCACAGGTAACATTTTGATAGGATTTCTTTCTAAAAGCAAAGTTTTCAAATGCCTTTAAAATAAAACAAAAAATATATAATTTAAAAAGCAGAAAATGAAATGACCATCCCAAAATATACCATCAAATTTCTTCCTTTGCTGCCTCTTTAAGGGGACACCGTCAATGCAGGCACACACGCTTGCTGTGACACGTGTGGCCCACGGATGTCTGCAAACGTGGCCCCCCGGGCTCAGCAGTGGGCCAGGACCGCTTTCTCAGCACAATGACACTCAAGGCCAGGTTATTCTCTGTTGGGGGGGCTGTCCTGCACCTGTGGGATGTCCAGCAGCATCCTGGTCTCTACCCACCAGTCCAATAGGAGCCGCCTCCCCACGCCATGACAACCATGAAATCTCCCAGCATTGCCAAATCTCCACTGGGGGCAACACTGCCCCACAGGGGGACTGGTGCTCCGACTGCTGATCTCCAGGGTTTCCTGAGGTGTGCAGTGAGGGATCCAGCATTCTGACATGCCCTGTGAGCAAGTTTCCTTGGTCAAAATGCTTGGAAGCCTTCTGCTGCACTGCACACCCACCCTGCTGGGGGTGAGTAATTCGTAGTGAAGGGTTCTGGGAAGTCTCAGACCATGGCAAGGAGGGATAAGGGGTGTTTCTCCATGTCTTTGACTCCAGATCCCTTCCCTACTAACACCTAGTAACATCTCCTATAAAATCTCCCACAAAAATATACCGTGGATAGGATACAAGGTGCCCACTAAAAAGTAACTAACTGAATGATATGGAAAAATGAATATATCGTGTTGAACTCTATCTTGCCCCTTTTACCCTATTCTGCTTTTTTTTTTTTAAAGATTTTATTTATTTATTTGAGAGAGAGGGAATGAGAGACAGAGAGCACGAGAGGGAAGAGGGTCAGAGGTAGAAGCAGACTCCCTGCTGAGCAGGGAGCCCGATGCGGGACTCGATCCCGGGACTCCAGGATCATGACCCGAGCCAAAGGCAGTCGCTCAACCAACTGAGCCACCCAGGCGCCCTATTCTGCTTCTTTTGTTTTTCACCTTTAACTCTTAAGACTGTATCATACACTAAGGATCAATTTCTTTTTCTCCTTTACTTTTTAGGGACCACCAGCTGAAATCTGGTATAAAAAAACACAAATACCGTATTTCTAGCCCACAGGATGGGCGTCCAGGCAGAGGGCAGGGCCCCTCCCACCCTGGCCACTCTGTATCTGCATCACCCTGGGCCTCCCAGGACTTTGGGAGGATTGTTGAATCCACTGTCCTGTTTCATCTCCAGGGACGGGTCTGCCAGCCAGCACACCCCACCACAGCAGAGAGTGGGTCGGCTGGCCGGGCATGCAGGGATGCTGACCGTGTGGGGCTGGCTGCCTGCCACAGTGGGGAAGACCTCACAAGCCCCTGGGGAAAAGCCCCCAGCTGCCTTCTCCTCTATCGCTGACCTCAGCAGCCCCAGGAAACCAGCAGGGGGACCGAGTGGCTGGAGTGGGGTCCAAGCCGTGCCCCCCAGCTTCAACCCTCCTTTCCCAAAGGAAGAGAGGAGCAGCTGAGCACACGTACAAATCCCATAAATGAATCAACACTGTGGGGGGAGGGAGGCCATCTCAAGCCTCATCTCACCTTCGAAGGTGAAAAAAACAAAATCCAACATCACAACGGACCAGGGTCCCCAGGATTTGAAAGGAAAAAGAAAAATTTCACAGACATACAATTGAGAGTTCTATTATTCCAGCTAAATTAAGTTTAATTTTTGGATTGGCAACCCCAAAGGAAAATGAGGTTACTTGAGGATTAGCAATTTTCTTTCCATTTACTCCCTTGGATTTTCCTTTTTATTTGAAATTTTAAAGGAACAGATTTTACAGATTAAACTTTTCTTGATGTACACAAAGGTGAATTATTTCAACGTTGTCACTTCAACTACTGCTTTTTGGTTCAGCCCCTTTTAGTTGTGTAATACAAAAAACAGGCCAGGGATGGGTGAGCGCTTGCTCTGCATGAGGTGGACAGAGGCTGCAGACTGGGCGGCGGGTGGGCAGGTGCCCTGGACTTCCCCAACGGCAGGTCCTGTCGGTCAGGCCGTCCCCACCCGCCGGCGTGCTGGCCTAGGGGTCCACTGTGGTGGGCGGAGACCACGGGAACCAACCATCCACCAGAAAGCATAGCAGGGCAATGATCTGTTTGAATATTCTCGTGCACACTTTGAATAATAAATTGATAAATGTTGACCCCATAAATCCTATCAGTAATCCACTGGTCATGTCAGCGACTTCCCGCTGGACATACACATTCACGAGCTGAGTCACAGCTGCTGGCTTAAGGAGGCATATATACTGACGTACGCATGTCCTCACTCTCTCTGCTCACAAGCTCACCCGTCCAAGACAATGGGGGGGGGGCGGAGAACATTAACACTGGCATTGCTTTAATTAGGCTTTTTGGAAAGTTTAAGGCTTTTAATAAGCCCATAATTACTTAACATTTCTGATTAATGTGTTTCAGCTCTTCAGCAAGCTGATCTAATTTTAATGACATAATGGGCCATAAATCACATGCAAAATTATATCTTAAACAATACTAAGCAGGGGGCTTTGACTGGCAAAATCAAAACTGGAGGACTGTAGACTTATTTTATAGGAAAGAGCAGTGCTTGGGGAATGGGCTTTTGTTTATTTACCCTTTGAGTAGCAATCCGTCTCCTGGGCTGTATGAGCGCCACCACTTATGGACAGAAAGCACTAAATCATCCTCAACACAGAAGATGAGGACTTTGGGAAGAACAAAGCCTTCCCAGCCCACCTGAACCACAAGCTCAGAAGACTCAAGAGGCCGTCAACCTGGATGGGACAAGGTGGGCGCAGGTCCAGGGAAGGCTCGGCCACCTGCCACACAGCCCTGTTTGGGGCCAAGGACACGGTTCTGTGCGTCCAGTGGTACAACTCACGGCAGGCGATGTGCTCTGCAGAGCCCAACAACCCCAGGAGCTCCAGGAAGGCGGCTCCCGGCTCTGATTCCCCCCGCCAGAGACCCCAGCTTAGCATCAGAAATCAGCTGCTTCCTTGCAGAGCCTGAAAAGGCACAAATGATTCACAGAGATTTTCTCTCACTGTGACATGTGACAAAATACTCACTTCGTAAAAATTACTCTGAACAACAGTGAGCTACGGGTCAGGCCAGTGAAGGGCCTTATACAGACCTCCAGTCTGTTGCTTCACGGCGGCCGCACGGCTCTCTGCGGACACAGTTGCTCATGTGGGAACAAGAGTTTGCCCTTGGATAACTGTCTTCCTCCCACGCCCTACATCCAACCCGAAACCCACGGGCTCTCAAGTGCCCTGCAGCTCTGTGTTGTCAGCTTTGCCCAGGCCGCTGCCTCCTAACCAGCGGCCCACTACCCTCTCCTTACAGAGTGAACTCAAAGCCACGTCGAGTTCCACCCCTCTCCATTCAAACCCTCCGTGACTCCCAAGCTCTTTCAAAATGATGCCCAACACTGCAAGCCCGGCCTGCAAGGGTGGCCACCTGTCCCTCCTGGGTCCCGGCACACAGGCCCCCTCGCCATCCCCCACATCTGCCCCATGCACACCCCCATGGCCTATGTGTGTGTTCTCTCCTGCCCAGGGGGCACTCACGTTAAAGGGGATCCTACAGTGTTTACCAGAAGGGTTTCAAAAGGTCGGGACACACTGACAGGGAGGGATGGGGAACGGGAGGCGCTGAGGTCAGGACAGGAGGTGGGGCTCTTCCGAGGAGGCCGGCTGACCCTGGGCTGCCGGCCAGGGCCACGTGAGGAGGAGGGAGGCACGGCATTTGTCCCAGACGTGGGGGTGCCAGGAAACCCCGGGATCAAAGTGGTGGGAATGTGGCCAATAACAGGCATTCCTTACTCTGGGGTTTCCAGCTTTCCAAAATGGAAAGCATTCCTTGTTATTTATCAGAAACTAATAGGTACCTGCAGGCCCTCAGGAGCAGAGAGGCTGGTTGTAGATCACCAGCCACATGCCCAACCCTTCCGGCAGCTTCGCATGATGAGAGTCAGAGCTGGAACCGGGTGTTGCAAAAACCTCACTGTTGGCCCCGCAAAGGCACTGTGGCTACTGGCATTCTATGTGCTATTAAAGATCCTACATTATAACTATAGTTATGTGCATTTGGTATATTCAGCCACCGCATCTATTAGCTGGCTTTAAAAATAGCATTAAATGCTTCTACACTGAAATCAAAATTCAATCAGGAGTTGGAGCTAAGCAGAAAAAGAACAGGCACTCACACATTTTAACACATGATGGTTTCTTAAAATCTGGAAATACAAACATACAACTTACTTGTGAGACCCAATCCCAGAAGGAAGAACTCTAATTCTGTTATAGTGGAGGTCCAGCCAAGTGAGGTTTGGCAGTAACTGGAAGAAATCTTTAGGAATCTCACAGAGGGCATTTCTTTGAAGATGCAATCGCTTCCAGGGAAAAGAAACAAGAATGTCTTGTCAACTACACTTTAAAACATGATACATCCTAGAGCATTTCCAGAAGAACCACGGGCTTTTGGACTCATACGTATGAAGTGAAAAGAAAGCCCATAATATCTTACTCTTAGATAGGTTAAACAGCAGACAGGAGTCACAGAGGAAGGTACCAGGGTCCCTTGCCCAGCTTTTGGGGCTGGAGCGTGACTCCCGCGCTGGCCCCGCGGCTCCCTCATGGCTGACGGCTCAGCCTCCACTGCTGCACACCACATTTTCTCTGCAAATACCCTTAACACCAGACCGACTCCCCAAGCATTTCTGTGCCTCTCCTCCTTCCTGGGCCCCACACTCAGTGCCTCTCGGGCTCCGCTGGGCCTGCCCCTTCCCTAGCGCCCGTCACAGGCAGCCTGCGGTAACTCTGGTCAGTGGACAAACGGCAAGAGCCGAGTCTGGTCCCAGGGACTCGTCTCAAGCCGAGAGTTCAAGGAAACTAAAGGGCAGGCGCAATAGCTGTCTGCCTCGGCCCGTGGCTGCTGACCCCAGCTACCGTCAGTAGCTCCACAGAAGCCATCCGCTGTCGTGAGGTGTACGAGGGAGGGAAGGTCCACGTCAGCACACGTGGCACTGACTCCAGCCGTGTAAAAGGTACGCGCGTGAGTCCACAGTCACAGCAGGACACGATTATGGGGAAATTTTTTTTAAGTAGGCTCCATGTGGAGCGTGGAGCCCAACGCGGGGCCTGAATCCACAACCCCAAGATCAAGACCTGAGCAGAAATCAAGAATCAGATGCTCAGGGGCACCTGGGTGGCTCAGTTGGTTAAGCGACTGCCTTTGGCTCAGGTCATGATCCTGGAGTCCTGGGATCGAGTCCCGCATCGGGCTCCCTGCTCGGCAGGGAGTCTGCTTCTCCCTCTGACCCTCCCCCCTCTCATGTGCTCCCTCTCTCTCTCTCTCAAATAAATACATAAAATCTTTTAAAAAAGAAAAAGAGTCAGACGCTCAATTGACTGAGCCCCCAGGCGCCCCCGATGCTGGATCTGCTGCGATATTGTTTCTGCGCTACTCTGCGTGTCGCATAAGCATATTCAACATCTCTAACTACTGAGACGGCAGAGCACGGATGTTAAGAACACTGGCCCAGAAGCCAGACTTCCTGGGTTCAAATCTAGATTTGGAAACCTTATGAGCTGTGTGACTCTGAGCAGGCTCCCAAACCTCCCTGGGCTTCAGTGTCCCCCCTGTAAACGGGGTCACGGGACCCACCTGCCACCGTAACTGAGGAGCACTGAGTGCAGCCCAGTGCTGCCAGCTGCCCCATCGGCCACAGCATCACGACTCCCAGCTCACCTCCAATACCATCCGCCGAGCCCCTTCTTGGGGTAGGGCAGGGGCTCTACCAGCGCGTGGAAAGTGAAATCTCCAGCCATCCGAGGTGCGGCCAGTCACCCTGCTGGCCGTGGGCATTTTCTGGGACAAGGTCGGGCAATTATGCACGCACAGCGTGTGCGCACCCCGACATGGAATGGCTCTTGGCCTTGGCTGCAGCGTGGGCTCCGAGCTTCTCAGGCCTCCTCTCTCTCGGGGCAAGCTGGCTCTAGTGCTCAGCTCTGAAACCACAGATCCCAGATGCCAGAAAAGGCGGGAAGAGGCCACGCTGCTCTTTGCAAAGGGCTGTTCCCGTCAACGGCAAGGGGACTGCACCACAGAAGCCCACCCTTCCTCTTGGGTCCAGTGGGGCCGTGCGAAGACGGCCCTCCTGTGCTCCAGGAGTGCACCGGTCTCTGCACGTGCGACTGGTGACTCCAGAGATCGCTGCTTTATCTGCACACGTACCTGTAACCCACAGCGCCGAGCAGCCACCCCACTGCATGCTTGGTTGCCATGGTAATAACATTTATAGTCACATCTCTGTTTTCGGAGAGGCATGAAGAGTTATGATGCTTCTTTATTAAGCCTGAACAACAGTTTTAGAATTTTCTCCTTCTTCCTTTATGTGTGGAGGTCCCATAAATCTCAGGACGTGTTGGAGTCCTTGTTCACAGTTAGGAGCGTTTGCCCTCAGACAGGGCGGCCCTGATGACCCAGGAATTCACTCCAAGAGGTCGGCGCTCAGGGAAGAGAGAGCAGGGGCAGTGCCAGCCGTGACCGCCAGCACACAGCACGTGACACACAACAGCAGGGCACCTAACATCCCAGTATGCAGCTCTGTGCAAGCGCTCCAAAACGTCAGCCAACACCCCCACGGCGCAATGTGTCCATGTGTCCTGTGGATGTTGCGCTTCACACGCGTTACAGTTTCATTCTTGTAATAACCCACAAGAATAGTCTCTTTCTCACAAATGAGGCTTAAGGAAATTACGTGAGTCCGAGGCAGCAGGTGCCCAAGCCCTGCACTCTTGCCCTGCTCACGTCAACACTGTGCTCTGACAGAACCTTATTCTAGAAACCCTGGGGGAAGAGACAGTACCCTCTAGGTTAGCAGCTGGTGGGAGCTGGGTGAGGACCCGGCACAGGGGAAAGTCAGTGTGTGACGTCAGCAAGGCAGGGCTGAGAAACAGCATTTACCTGTTGTAATACTGTATGGGAGCTTTTAGGGGGAAGTTTTAAACAGGAGATCAAGGGTGCTTTCAGCAGCGGTTTCTACCGTGGGCTTTTGGATGCTTAAGACTTTCCCAAGAAGAGAGGCTAGATATCACAGTCTGACCCCATGAGGTATTTCCACTAGCTGGTCCCCATACCAGAATTTCTTTTTGTGGTGAGCAGCACATGAGACCCCGAGTTAACCCTCTTCTCTCTCATCCTAGAAACTCTCTCCTAAAGAGAGGGCTCCAAATAAAGCCACTTATGTCCATTCGGCAGAGGCACAAATGCCCTGAGAAATGCCCCACTTACTTTAAGGTTGGGAATTTTAAAGATCTCTCTTAAATGGTGAAGACCACTTTGACTCAAGTCTAAAATCGACGAGGAAGACAAGATGACCCCCTTAACACCCTCGTGAACCTCTTTGGAGGGGGAAGCAGGTGTGCTCCTAACTTGCCCAGCGTCGCTCTCCGGATCAGCCGTCCCGGGGGGGAGCCTTGCAGGACCTGCTTCCTTCCATCTGTCAGCCAGGAGGAAACAGTGCTCCGGGGACCTCTGCTCATCCTCCTTGGTCTGCAGTCACCTGGAGACAGGGAGGGGAGACACAGCAACATCTAGGTGACCTGACACGTCCTCCCAGGGGGCACGGGGTAGTTTGGTAGCAGATACGCAACCATTTCACTTGCTTACAAAACCATCAATTTTAATAAACAGTAGCATAAATCTGACATTTAAGTTTAAAGGAAGGAAGGAAGGAAATCAAGAAGGTTCTGACTGAGTGTTATACTCCTCACTTTGTACCATGGAGTTCCAAGATTTAACTTTTAACTCCTGGAAAACACAATGATGCAAAATAAGAATGACTATTTTAGGGATAAAAACAAACCAGAACGTTTCAAAGTCTGTAAACCAATATATTCCTTCCATAAAATGCGAGTGTGGAGGGGCTCCCAAGTTTGCTTTCTGCCGTGGTTCTGAGCTCCTCACACTAGGAGTTAAGCTCCCTGTGTCCCAGGATCCCACCAGTTTTGCCATTTGGCTCAGTGAGCAGCACTGTCAAGAGAGAATCTTGAATTTCAGGTGCTCAACAATACTTCGAAAGTAGTTCAAGAACTGCTGCCGACCACAGGCTCTTCCAGCCACAGGTATACACGCGTCATTTCTAAACAATGGATCCAGCAATAACAATCCGCATGGAACCCGTCCTCGCCTGGACCCAACCCCCGGCTGTCGGAGGTTTAGGCGCGGGCACAGGCACTTCCCCTTGGGGGGTGATCCATGCGAGGGCTGGGCTAGCTCGGGCACTGCCTAAGAGCACCTAATGGGGGAGGGCCAACCCGCAGGTGCGACCCCAGGGCACCCAGGGGCCTTTCCCGGGGGGTCCTTACCTGTGAACCACCGGCTGTGAAGGGAGGGAGGGGTGCAGTCGACCTCCTACACACCTCCCGACGGGGGGGACAAAAATCTCAAAACCGAGCGTGAACGACTGGACGTAAAACAGGGCGGAGCTGGCCCCTTGAGGGGGGAGGCTGCGACACTGTCCCCACCGCGCCTGCCTCGTTTTCCCGACCGGCGCCAGGCCGGGTTGCTCGGACCCCTTGGTCCTCCAGTTGCAGGACTGAGAAGCACCGCCTTCGCCAGAGCAGCCGGACAGGGCAGGGGGCCGCGCGGGCACCAGCTCCCTTCTGCGGCCTGCCCGGGCTCCGGGCCCCCGACCAGCTCCCCT